CCTGCCACAGTGGTTGGCAGAGCACACAAACCCTGAGGATATTGTTTCAAGTAGCTCATGTCTGCCAGTTTGAAGGCATAGGGAGAAAGAGCGGGCTTTAACAAGTTCTTATCATTACACATAACCCAGGTCAACAGACTCAGGTATCGGATGTGGGATCAGCGCGTTGTAAATTAACACAAGATGAGACTTCACTTTGTCCAAAGATCGATGCCTTGTTGTTGGAAGTGCAATCAAAGCTGCACAGAGCCACCGCTCCTCAAACATAAGGCCGTAATCAACAACAGTTTTAAGTGCTCCTTTGTTTTACTTTCAATTAAGCTCTGATGCCAAGCACCATCGGTTAAATACGAATGCTGTGTTAATGGTGTGAAAAAGGAAGTGAAAAAGTGATGCAGTTTTTTAACTCAAAATTTCTAATAAGTCTGAAAGAATTTTTTTCAATAAATTTAAATTTCTTAAAAGTAATCTCTTTTTTACCATGGTGAATGTTTAATTGGCTAGATACACAAGGGCATATAGGCATGTTAAAACTGTAGACAGTTTTAAAATTGCAAAAACTGTAATGAAACCAAAATATTAGATCCCTTCCAATGTTTAGAATCTCAAGATTTATCTAACATATATGCTTTTGGGATTGTGGGATTATCGCACAATTTTTGCGATTTGATTATCGCACAATATTTATCACATATTTAATCAGTATAATTGTTTTTTCCTTTTTATGGAACCTTCAATAATATACATTTAAAATAAAATTTTCCTTTTTCCAGTTTAGACATGAGAAAACATCATATAAAGGAATAGCAGAAAGAGGAAAGGCAAGGCAAGTCTAGTTTTATAGTTCATTTCAGTGCCAAGACAAGTGCTGTACATTGAACACATACAGCAGTGACAAAGAGGCTAAAAAATAATTACAGAGAATAAAAGTGCATAATTGAAATAAGACAATTAAATAATATTGAAAAAATAATTTATTAATAAAAAACTAACAAAAGATAAATATAAAGATAAGTATAAAGTATAAAGTAAAGTATAAATGGTTAGGAAAATTGACTGGAAACTTAATTCACAATGATTAGATCAAAGTCAAATTCCACTCTAACCAAATGCATTTTTAATACAGTTAGACGCAAAATTTTAGAGCAACAAAGGGTTTCAAGACTTTTACAGTTTTATGAAAGTTTATTCCAGATTAGTGCAGTAAAACACTAAAAGCTGCTTCTTCATATTTGGTTCTGATTATTATGCATAGATTGATCCATCCCGACCTGAGAGTTCTGGAAGGTTAATACGCTGAAAATACGTTTGTAATGTATTTTGGAGAACGTTCAGCAATTTATAGATTAAAAGAAGTCTTTTTAAGTCAGTTCTCTTTTATACAGGTAGACAGTGAAACAATTTTAGAACTGGGATGATGTGCTCCATTTTCTTCAATTTAGTAAGGATGCGGGCAGCAGCATTCTGGATCAACTGAAGGTGTCTGATCGGGCAAACCTGTAAAATAGTAATTAATTCTACCAAAGAAGAGCTTATTAATTATTTTATCAAGGTCCTGCTGATACATCATTCCTTTAATGGTTTTAAGAAACTATACATCAGTAAATAAGCCAAAGTTTAAATGTATTATTAATCAAACTAAGATATGATTACAGATTAAACATATAACAAATAAAATGAGCTTGGGGGGTTGTGGGTGTATATATAAAAAAATCCCCTTTATTTTTTTTTACTTATTTTACTTTCCTACTATATGACTGGACTAGGTTATTCTGAGGAATCAAATGGGGCATTTAGTTTTAAATCTTAGATGGTGAAAATGTATCAATATCACATAAGAAATAAAAAAAAATATGATTTAAAGATAAATAATAATTGAACTTTATTGATCTCACATTGGAGAAATGTATCTCTGCATTTAACCCATCCCTTTGGGGAGCAGTGGGCTGCCATTGTGTGGCACCCGGGGAGCAGTGTGGGGTTAAGGGTCTTGCTCAGGGACCCAGACTGGCAGTCTGTGGGAGTGGGGCTCGAACTCAGAACCTCAGGATTCCAAGCTCTACGCTCTAATCACTAGGCTGTCACTTTCCTGGCATTGTACTTTTTATACTTGTGCTGCATGCAAACCTTATCTATAATCTCAAGCTATCTTAAAAACTTATCTTTGATGTCAGTACAAAGAAACTGCATTTTATAACTGAAAATCAAATTTCTAAATTAAGAAGCGTATAACCGAATCCTGCTGTGATCCCCGCATTCATTTCTATAGCTATCCTGGGTCAGTCATAGCCTCTCAACAGTGTTTAGCGCTCGGTTTGCCTGAAAAACTTATAAAGTGCATATATGTGCTCCGTCTGAGCTACTGCTGGGGTTCATGAGCTCCAGACAGGCGTACCGCTGGCTACTTCATTCCAGTTATGCACTGGAAAAATGATCTCGAAATAAGTAAAAATTCCTTAAATTAACTGTATTTACCTTTGAGTAGGTGAATGAGATAGTTTGCCAATGGAATGAATATTTTTTATCTTAAAATAAGATAGTTATATAATATGCACTTGAAATAAGACAATGCAATTGAGTTTTTTTATTTTAAGTGTAATTGTCTTCTTCCATTGGCAACATGTCTCCTTTACCTGCTTAATCCAAGAACAAATGCACTTATTTTAAGAAAAAAATGACCTATTTTGATTTCGATTTCTTTCAGTGTGGAGCTCTCTCAGTTGGTATTCTCACACTGATTTCCTGCTTCTGCTGTCTGAGCTCCAGAACTTTGCTCACCGTACCTCTGCTGTCCGGGTGATTGGTCCTGCTGAAGAGCAGGAGAAAGTAATTTACATAGATAATAAAAAAAAAAAAAAGGATTTTATTAGTCTATATAAGATTGTATATAAGCCTAACTTTCTGCAGTCACATTTAGGCGTAATAAAATCTCTACAGTCACTAGTCTGTCAGCTCTGCACTGTACAGCCAAACATGTCTGCCTGTCATGTTGAGGTCTAGCATCTAACCCACATGCAGAAACACTCTTCAGACGGGGAAAAAGTTAAATGGTTTATTTACAATGTTTACAGATAAATGTGAACGGGTTCTTGGCTCGGCAGGCTGGTCACGGGAGGGAAGCACTAGAGGAGGAAAGATCAGTTAGAGTGGATCCAGGAAACTTGCAGTTCAACGGTGACTAGGATTAATACCTGCTCAGAGGGTATTCAGATCAGCAGGGGGGAAACCTTGTGGGTCCAGAGGCTGTCGGCAGGCTGAGGGCAGAGGCAGAGGCGGAGACTGAGGCTGAGACGGAGGACAGACAGGCTGGTTCCAGGAAGCGATTGATTTATCCAGGTTTAGGCAGATCTCCAGATAAGTCAGGATCTGAGAGGCAGAATAACACAGGGTCAGGCTTGTTCCCAAAAATCAGATAAAAGATCAGAAAGGCTGGCTCAGGTTTTGCTGGTACCATTACTGGCAAACACTCTAGCAGGGAAGTGTCAGCCTCCTCCTCCTTATGAAGGGCTCATGATGAGCAGATGGAAAACAGGTGTGTCGAAGTCAGCTAATGCCCTCAGGAGGAAGATCTCAGGCGCTCTTTTGTGGAGAAAATTAGACAAGCCTCCACATCCCAACACTGCCTCTTTACAAACATTACCTGCTCTTTTGTAACTATGAATAGCAATTTTTGTAATTATAAATAGCAATTTCTAAGGCAATGAAAACATCATGCTTGAGAATTTCAGTTCTCATAAATACTTATGCCCAACATTTACATTTCTGCCAGTAAATCCTTGAAATTATTACGCACTGTAGCTTTAAGATTATTGAAAAAGATAAAAATTAGTGTTTTATTATTTGAACTTATTCTCATCTGTTAAATCATCTAGATCTATGATCTGCTGTAGATACTTTTCATTGGGAAAATTATTTAGAAAATTTTTCCTTAATTTCTTTTCACCTTAACCTCTTTCCTCATTAAACGCACACACATTCTCCCACACACACACATTTGTAAGCCATAGGGTAAACTTGCGGATAGGGCTACACTTTTGCTCTGAAAAAGTTTTTTGTTTTTTTTTCCCTACTATTAGAAATGTCATAAATTGTTAATCTCAGAAAATGTGGTAATTTCAAGCTCAAGTCAAGCTCTGCAGTACATATTGGTGTCTGGTGTGTTATAGCAGAGACCAAGTTAGGTCTGCAACTAACGATTATTTTGCAAATCAATGAATCTGTCGATTTTTTTTTGGGATAATTGCTTCTCAAGGCGGGTCAATCCGTCAGTTAAAGGCATGTTTTTGAGTCTCTACTTCAATTAATGATTAATCGATTACCAAATTAGTTGACAATTATTTCAATAATCGATTAATCACCATTAATCTGCTTGATTGTTTCAGCCCTAGTTGCAGTGCGTAATAAGATAATTAATGCAAAATTAAGTTTAAGTTGATTAAAAACAGATGATAATTGAAAGAAGTATTTTCTAAAAATGTGTATTCAGGTCAGTTGATTATTAGACAATATTTTATGTATTTACCATCGCCATTTAACATCTTAACATAACTTAACTTAATATACATGTTACATACTCAATCAGAAATGTCTGAGAGAATACATGATTATGTGTAAATGTGAAATTACTATGACTAAACCCTCATGTATCTCTTTCTTAAAGGAAGCAACAATTTATTTCTCTACATTATCTTCTCCCAATAACAAAAAGGCTGTTAAAACTTTATCATTATGTCCTAAATTCAAAATATTTATGTAATCCCCTTATATGCTTCTGTGTCTTCTATGTCTAGCTTTACTCAATTACTTTACTATTTTTACGTTTATTCAGTTATTTTTTTATTATTATTATTACTATTTTTTCAAACCCCTGATTATTCCTTGGAAATTGTACTTATTTATTCTTGTAGTAAAAAAAAAAGTTTTTTAATAAAGCTTTAACAAAAAAAGTAAGATGATGTATTTTATTTTGAAATTCTGTGAGCGGATGTTGTTCCGGAAACGCTGTTGGAGCTACTTCCTGCAAACTAGCTGCCTAGCTAAACACCTTCTGTGTTCCTTAAGAAAAGTTTTCTTTAGGACGAAAAAGAAAACACATTTTTATCTCAGCCTGAAGGTTTCCGGCGGAGATGCCTTGACATTAGCGGACGAGCTCGTCTTTTTTTTTTTACAGTTTCACGTCACTTTAATAGGAAACAACCACTGCAGGAAATTAGCTCGCTAGCCTTCATACTCAGGAATATGAGGCTTAACCTTTCGTTTTTATGCTTATTTTAAATCCTCCAGGGGAAATGGACACCGAGCCGATAATAATCCGTATAAAGACCCCTTTAGGGGATATGGATTCGTCTGTGGACTATCCATCTGTGCTTAACTTCAATGACCTGCTGGTGAGTTCAAAGCAACCAGAGAGCTGTCAGTTAAGCTAAAAGCAAAACTTTCCCACATATCTGTAGCTTGAATCCACTAAATACCTGTTTGGTGGGACAAATTCAAACACCTGCCTCTGTTTTTTACTTGTATTTCCAGCTCATCCACCCCAGCTCTGTGTCTCTATTTAAAATTTTAGCATTTGTTAACAGATTTAAAGTTGTGTTTATTCCAATTTTAACTCTCCAAATATTTCAGGTCGCAATCAGAGACGTGATGCCTGAAGCCACTGTCACTGCCTTTGAATGTAAGTTCCTCCTGGTCCAATCTAGTATTAAAAGCAGCTTGTGTATTAAACAGCCTCTTTAAATACCCCCCCCCCCCCCCCCCCCCAACACACACACACACACACACACACACACACACACACACACACACAATGACACTAATAATAACCTAAGTTAAATTGCTAGCAGATTCCCATGTTACTTCCTATGAAGTGACATGCTGATCTATTACTAAGAATTATTAGGGTCCAAAAATCAGTTTTTGAGCAGATTAGGCAAAAATGAAAGCCAAGTACAATGTCTTAATATATTGAAACAATAATTGATATTACTCCTTGAACAACTGCATATTCCTATGTCAGTCCATATTAAATAAAGAGGATGTTTGGGCTTTCTTAGGAAAATATCTGTGTGCAAAAGTTTTGGGAAACTGTTTTGCACCTTAAAGGCATAGTGATGGATTTTCATGAATTTTTGAAAAATGCACATGCAAAACCCTGAGAGGGAGCACCTATTATGTGTGCAAGAGCATGCAACAGCGTGCGCACTCTGTTTATGGGGACTGATGGCCTGGTGGTTAGAGCAGTGCCGTGTGCTCAAAGAAGGTTGTAAGTATCTGATTTGATCCCCACAGCTTGAACTCTGGGTTCCTGAGCAAAACCATTAACCCCACACTGCTCCCCGATCGCTGCACGATGGCAGTCCACTGCTCCCCAAGGAGATGGGTTGCACAGCCCTGTACCTGCTCCAGAGAGGGAACGCATGCAAGAGCATGCGTGAGCCCATTTCTCCTCGTGCACACTCTGTTTAAAAGTTGCTGTTTGCATCGCTCATACACACATGCTTTCCAAAAGAAGATTTGCATTTCTTCCACTATATCAGGCTTGCCACTGTTAGGTGAAAATGGGGACGACCACGTAGGATGGCCTTACGTTAACATATCACCAGAATGATTGACAATTAGGAGGATCACTTATTTAGATGATCCACCCCGAAAAAGAACATCCTCCACTATACTTTTAGTGAAAAATTAAAATATTCCCAAGTCACTCAACCTGTTATCTGTTATGATAATAAACACTTTAAAATGAAGAAGTAAACTTTTCTGACATTTAAAACCATTTGTTAACAAATATAGCCATCCTTCTCTTTTTTTTTTTTTTATAAACAAAAGCAAAATATTTGTGGATTGTTTCAGTTTATTTATCAGGAGTTTGAAGGTATTTTTTCACACTCAAATGTGGACGAACTAAGTTATCATTAATAATACCAGCTCATGACAATCCTCCAATCCTTCATCTTTCTGGCATCTTAACTGAAGTGGAGCTCCTTGCCTGTTACTGAGTCCGTTAATCTGGCCCATCAAACATCCCCTGTCTCGTCATTTTTTAAAAGCCTTTTGAAAAATCTGTCTTTAAATATCTCTAGTCCTTTTGTTATTGTTTCAACGCTTTTAGCCCTCCTTAACTTGGCCATGTCTCTGAAACCTACGTTGTGGGCCCTCCAATAGCTTGCAATCCTGGAATATGATGGCACAGGGGGCAAATGGGTTTCTGGTAGCTTCATATTTGACTCTTTTCAAATCTAGGCAGTTAATTAGCATCTTCTATTTTTTTTATTTACCAGTTTTTTTAAAAAAAGCAGTATTTTGAAGATTCTGATTCCCCTGAAATACTTACTTCAAGCTAACTATTAATCATGCATAACTTGTTTTATGGTGTTGATCTTCTTAGGTTTAACACTCCTTAATACAACCATACATCACTATAAAACAATGGTGATAAATGGTGAGCAAAGTATAGAAAGGTGGAAACAAAAATAAAACTGATTCAAAAGAACTGAATACATTTTTGTCATTTTTTCTTTATTTGATTGAAAAGTTGTAGCTTTTTAGTAGGGATGGGACGGTTTATGAAAACCGTCCGAACCGTTCAGTTCGACTGTCTCGGTTCGGTTTGCGTGTGTTGCGTTCAGATCATGCGCTGCTACTTTTTCTCAAAGGCGACGCGGGTACACTCCAGAGCAGAAGGTGGCGGTACTGCAACCAAAGCCAACCACCAGTAGTAAGCAAGAAGAAGAAGAAGCGAAGCCGCGTAGCCGGGTGTAGCAGAAAAAAATCAGTTGTTGTGGAGAATTGTGTGGGTATGGCGAGTGGGAAAGAACAGGAGTTGGAAGACGCACCAGCAGCACTTTATAGGTCTGCTGTATGGGATCACTTTTCATTTAGAGTGACCTACGATGACGGCGGAAAGAAATGTGTGGATAAAAGTGCAACAGTGTGCAAGCATTGTGCAACACGTTTTGTTTATGCTAACAGCAACATGACCAACATGTCATGCTAACCCCGAAATCCCACATACTCTGTCAGTGCTCCGCCCCGCTGCGCTCCAGACCGCCTGCACAAAGCAAAGCCTACAGCCCCCACTGTGGCTCCCGTCCGCTCCCCTCTGAGTACCTTGGAGATCGTAGAGGGCGAGATGATTAAATTCAAAGCAGCAAAACATGCGGAAATTATCCAGGGTTTCCGCGGATCATTAAAAATAATTACAATCCATAATTTTTTTTTATTTTTTTCATACATTTTTATGGGATTTCAGGGTAACAATAAACATATACTGAACCGAAAACCGTGACCACGAAACCGTGAATCGAACCGAACCGTGGATTTTGTGAACCGTTCCACCCCTACTTTTTAGGTACTTACCTGATTTTTTATATTAAAAAGACGGGTTAACAGGAAACAGAATCCATAGTTAAACAGAGAAGGAGAAAGAGCCTTACAAGTAAATTGTAACAAGGAACCCAGAAAAACTGACTATAAATGTTTCAGATCCCCAAAAGAAATAAGTAATATTGACTCCCTTCTGAGTTGTGTTACCTGATAGCTGTAGTTCTTGTACAATTTACTGTTGGGTTATCGTTATGGTTTCATTTAAATGATCTTAGATTAGAGATAAAGTCGACTCTGGCGTTTGCAAAAGTCTGTTTATGAACATATACAGACACACTATGTTTTTTTAAATGTTGGTTTGAAAGTGTCCTGATTTAAACCCTGTTTTATCTTTTTATTTAAATAGATAAATTATTGAATAGAAAAAGGAATAAAAAATATTCACAAAATATTCTTCCGTCTCACTAAAAGTTCAAATAAAATGTATATTTTCTTGGATTTCTATTCGATTTGGATCCCTATTTGGCATCACATTTTTCAAACCATAATAAATATCAGCAACCTTTTCTAATTGAGTATTAACTGTTTTAATAATGTTTCCTAATTTCTTCTAAATCGATTGTGACTGGGTGTAAGTTCTGACTTTAAATCATCAACCGTAAGTGTTTATATGAAGATTTGTATTGATTAATGTAATATGCTGTTGTTTTACAACCAGGATTTCCAAGACCCACCTTTCTTTATCTGGTTTCTTATTTTTTGTTTTTGTTTAGACGAAGATGAGGTGGGAGACAGAATTACTGTAAGAAGTGATGAGGAGCTCAAAGCTATGCTGTCATATGTGAGTACACACATTAAAATAAAAGTAAAGAAGATCATGAAGTCTACATCTGACCTTTGTACATATCACAAAATAAGCATCTAATTCTTCTGTTTTCATAAAGATAAATGATCAGATTAATCTGTATTAAATAATTTAACACGGTATATATTGTAGCTAGTGCTAAATGTCTATTACAAAGTTATTAAAGCAGAGGAAATTGATAAAGCTGACATTTTCCATAAACTTGAAGTTGATATCTATGAGCTACCAACTTAAAAAAATTAAGTATAGTGAACATATCTCAACTATTTTTTTTAAAAACAGTTTGTCAGATAAAAAATTTCAGGCGACAGAAATGCAATCCTACACAGCAGCACAGAATCCCTGCTACCTAATCCAATGTATTTTTCCCTTCACCATAGTTACTGATCATGCCACGGACAGTAAGAGTAATGGCATGTAATGAGTTTCTGTATGAGGTACACTGAAAGCTAAATGAACTGTCAATTTTTATTATTTATTATTCAGTAGTTAAAGTTTTGCCTCATTAAAGAGCAGCCCCCCTGGGCTGCAGAATTGTTCAAAATCTACTTTCATCTGTGGATGTCTTTTACCCCCCATCAGCTCACAATGATGCTGCTACTGCTACAGGCACAATTTACACTCCCTGTTTTTTTGGCCAGTTTTATCACTTGTGGTTGCTTTTTAATCAGTATGTAGCATAGGGTAGCAGTGTGATTAGACAAAACAAGAGGCAGATGCTATGAAGAGATGGAAAAAGTATTGACCTGAGCCACAATAATCTTTTACAGATGCAATGGCCCACTCTGTGATTCTGCTATTATTTCCTATCTGTGCTCTGTCCTGTTTTATGTATTTTATGCACCCATTAGCTTAGAGATTTCTCAGCCTTTCTTGCCCACACCAGGTCTTTTTTTTTATTATCATTTAGCAATATAATTGCAAAGGACAAAACAAACAGCATCAAAATCAACGGTCATCTCTCAATCAAATTTTTACGGTCATAGCATCTTACTTCATATGTCGCAGCTAATATACGCAGCGGTTGAAATAAGATTCATTTATTGAGTTCCGTCCCAGTGTTCACGGGGATGGACGTCTGTGTCTTCAGCAGGCGTAGAGCTAAAAGAACTGGCAGCGTTGTGAGACAAGGGCTCAAACATGTACGGCTGCTTTACATCAAACGAAGCTTCTGCCGCCCTGGCGTCCTCTTCCTCAACATCTTCGTCCCCACTTTCTTCCTCTAAATAAAAAAAATGTATGACGGCGGAGACTCATCCACGACCTCTGATACAAAACTCTCCTCCTCTTGCACGTTTCCGCTGTCCATAGCGTTCCTTGACTGTGTCGTTTTTAAGTCACCAATTCAGTGCTATTAGGTCCCAATGGAATTTTCCATTGGGAACCTACTAGCAGCAAGATTCTAACTGGTTAGCAAGATGTTTCCGACAAACTGGCCACAACCAAACTTGCTTGCAAACCTCCCACCACAACAATCCCACCCCCTAGATAATCGACCAATCACATTTACTTTATTCACTCGTGTTAAGTTGGGCACCACTCGGGAGAATTTGGAACTGCAACCGTTGGAACAGCTGCTTCCCTACGACAATGTAATCTTGACTGTTATGGTTACAGAAAAGCGCTGTTGCATTATAAGCCCGCCACCTGGGCTGGGATTGGTCTGGTCTGTTTTAAAATGCAGTATTGAGCCCTACTGGCCAGGCTAGCCAGAGGTCTTGCATCTCTGACAAAAAAGATAAGGAGAACAGTATAAGGAGAACAGTTTGTGTTGTCTGAGGAGACTGGGCCTCCTAAAAGAGAGTAAAAAACTAGCATGGTTTTATTTGACAGCTATTTCTCCCCAAATAAATGACAGCTGAGCAGGATCTGTGTATTTGCCCTTACATTTTGGATAGTATTTAGGAAACACTTAAAAACCTGAATATTTTCATAAGCGGTGCAGAACATGTGTGCTATTGTGTGGGTCACTATACAATATTAACAAGATATTGCAATATCCATCAACATGATAGAAAAGACACAATAATTACAAATTTACCCATCTCAAATTTAAACATACAGAACAAATAAAAAATTTGATAATGGATAACGAATGGTGAGAGCGATACTGCACTAATGAATTGACCCATGCATGCCCCTTTCAGCCAATACTGATAAAAGAAGAAAAAAAATATACTGCTACGAATACTGCCCTAATATAAAGTCAGACTGATCGTTCTGTCTCTCTTTTCTCTTATATTTCAAGCTTGATACTAAGGTTGGGCAATTGGACAAATCTATCGACGATAGACTCAGCCCTTGGACGATCGATTAAAAAAATATAAAATATTTTTTGACGTATAGATTTAGACGCAACCCATAACAAAAAACAAAATGCTGTTTTTAATGGTACACGAAAACTCCTTCCGGCTACAGCTTCCCCCCCCCCTGCAATCGGGTGATTTATCTGCTTAAACTTGAGACGGAAAGAGAGAACTGAGCCAAACAGGCTCTAACTGTTTTTTTTTTAACAGCTGAACTAGAAGAGAGTCGCTCCATCTGTTACTGAGTTGATTTTAACACAACTAATACAAAATTAAACAACAGACAAATAAAGAAGGAATATTCTCTGCACTTTCCAGTTAAAAAAGATATCCATCCCAGTTTTCAGTGTGTTCAAATTTGCGCATTCATATAAACAAATAAAACCTTATTTGATAGAAAAGATATGACATATGAGATTTTAATGCATTTCGCTGGCCTCCAGACATTTTAAAGGAATAGTACACCCAAAACATGATTAGCCTTCATTTTCTACTCACCCCCATGCTGAACAACACTCTGGAGTACTTTTTTGATATCTCAAATGCATCTGGAGATCTGGGAGGCTTCTTGCTGTCTGCTGACATTCAAATAATGGAGGTCTATGGTGCCCGAGACAGAAAGGTCTGCCGGCTTCCGTAGCGTCGCGATCGCGCAGGTGTGCGCTTTCAGGAAATCCTATACACTACTGTTTATGCTCTAAAAACATTCTAAATGACTTCGTTTCGAGTAAATTCTGGATGCTACCCACTCAGGACACTTGGAATACATTGGACGAGCAGTATGGAGGAATATTGAAACGTTTTTTGTGGACTTTTATGGACTTTTCTGCCTCGGGCGCTGGGCACCTCCATTATTTGAATGTCAGCAGACAGCAAGAAGCCTCCCAGATCTCCAGATGCATTTGAGATATCAAAAAAGTACTCCAGAGTGTTGTTCAGCATGGGGGTGAGTAGAAAATGAAGGCTAATCATGTTTTGGGTGTACTATTCCTTTAAGAAGCTCAAATATTTAAGTATTCGAGCTGCACATTTAAAAACTCCTTTGTTCATGAATCTTTGCCAAATGAGTCCAGGATTTCTGTAATGGCTTTCGACTCATGGGAGAGCCCAATGTACAAAAAGCTGCTGATCACCTGGAAAATACTGAGCACTCTGGAATATAATTGAAGCTACTCAAGCCCATGTTCTTTAAATGTATTCTTATTTCCGTTTGTGTTTGTTTGCTGTGGTTGCCACTTGGCCCTTCAGAGATATCCCAGTGGATTTTGACTTCATTGTTGTTAATTCCAGGTGAGCAGGCAGCCATTACGTGAAATTAATAGGAATTATGGGAAACAGCATGTCGGGTCAGAGGGATAATTAATTTGTTCTTTCACTTTGTGTGTGCAGGTCTTATTGATGCTTCTGAATAAAAGAAAATATTATTACTGTTAATTTTCCTGAAGTCTGTCATCTCTCTCCTTCTGTTTTAAGATGGCTGCATGACAAAAATGTAAACTTCCAGTTGCTTAAATTAATGCTCAAAGTCGCTTTTTAATTAACACGAGTGTGCAGAGGGCGTCTATTCTAAAATGTCTTCCCCTTTTTTTGCCAACGTTGATTGGCGATACCGGCTCCTGGGAGACCAACTCGACTTCCAGGCATCTCTAATCATTGTTCGACACCTTGAAAGACAGACGCCCCCTGTTCAAAGTTAAAGACCGGTTTCCGTCAGGCACTAAAATAAAACATGTGACCCCGTACCTTCCTCATCCAGCTCCCCCTGGAGGTAGTGACTCCAATTCAGCCATTTTTTTTCCAATTTCCCCTTACTCTGCTAATGATGATGGGCCCCACTCTTCTCTCATATGTCCCTCAAGGCTTAGCGATACTGTTTGAGTTCGGACACTGTTTAGTTATTGGCCAACTATGGAGAGTGTCTTTTAATAACACACCTACTACATATTAGGTGGTAATTGCGGCTCTAATCAATAAGCTAGCTGAGCGGAAAATTAAAGTTACATGAAGCCGAATCGGCTCCCACAACCTCAACATGCACTGCTTTTCTTTATTTTTTATTTATTTTTTGGTATTAGGCCTTTTGTTCAGATGTGGCCTAGTGAAAGTGCTGGAGGGTAAAAGCAGAGGGCTAGGAGCGAGGAGGGGATCTGACAGTGATAAATAGGCCTTTTAATAACAGCTGTGCCACTTGGGTAGCCATTCTGATCCATTCCCATCCAAGCCGGTCCCATCGTCCTCCCTCCCTCCTTCACAATGAGAAAGCAGATTTACATATTGCTGTGATGACTGTCTCAATCAGACCACATAGAATATTAAACACAATGAACTCTGTTAGGTTTTCTCTAACAGGAAGAAGGTATTTTATTTAGATTTTTATGATTTTAGATAAAATTCTTGTATAAAAGAATCAGAAACAAACCCACACACACGTTTCTATGCACACACTTTTAACAGATGGTTTGTTTAACTGAAACATCAATTATTGCATTGCCTTGGCAAGCAGCTGAAAGGCTTCAGAGTGCGTCTGTCCGTGCCGGTCCTGTAGGATATGAGTGTTTGGTGAGCTGCTGACCTGGAGGAGAAAAGGGTTAATGCTACAGTCCCTCAGAACAAGCCCACAGGGCATTGGACCTCATCGGCAACAGATTTCAGCACAGCATGCTCAGATTTTTTCCAGATGCTTTGGACTTATTCTAACCTCCTTGAAAAACAGCTCCTTTTCTTGTGCTGAGAAGACTTTTACATCAGACTTTAACCTTTAACCAGATCTAGAAACATATTCAAAGATATTCAGTTGTCTTCTGTGCACTGATCAATTTTTAAATATCTTGTGTTTTTTTTTCCTCTTCATTTTAGTACTGCAACACAATGAATGAACAGCGCATGAATGGACTGATGCCAGACCCTCTACAGATTTTTCCAAGAGGTAGTATCTTAATTTAAAATCGCACCAGATCATGTAATGGGTACTATGTTAAAAAGGCAAAATCCCCTCTCTGTTTAGTCCCCATCGTGTCTCCACCATTTTCCATGACTTTGTGAATCAGGTTAACTAAAATCCCGATATTGTTTTGACAACAAGGGTTGCACGATATTAGAAAATAACTTTTTATGAATATTTAAAATGATAAAGCTATGTTTTCACAATACATATGGGGATCCTTGCACGAGGGCCATTAAACTGACCAAATACAAGCATCTCGAAAAAGTAGAATTTTATCAAAAACCTGGTTTATTTTAAGTTCTGTATTCACTCGGTGAAACACTTTACATTGATTCAATCAATACACACAAACTTTTAAAGCCACAGTTCTTGTTAATTATGATTATTTTCCATTTATAGCTAATAGAGGCATTTAGGATTGTTACATCAAACCACGTTCGAAAAAACAAAAACATTTCTAACAGAGAAGTTTGGCCTCATAAAAAGTTTAATAACAGCATGAAGGTTTTCAAAAGTTGCATCAGAATAGCTATTTTATTTCACTACGATGCCATTGCTGTACATTGTTTGCCTGCTGGATGTGAAAGCAGGACTATTCCAATATAGCGTTCTATTAAACTGTACAATGTTATAGCCACACATTAATAAAATAATAGATCTACACCATTTTTAGGAAGCCATCGATGAAAGTTGCAGTGCCTATGATTAACCAACATGTTCCTCTTAATCTATATAATGTCCTTTGCTCTCTCCCTGAGATTTCTGCTTGTGTGATTAGGTTCTCATCTGTCATGGGTGAAAAGGATGGTGAAGGTCCATCCAAAATGTCCAAAATATTACATGAAAAAATACTGGTCCTAATGCAAAGCACTGTAAGATTATATATTTATTGGTTTGTAATAGTGGCATCATTATGTTTACTTTATCTACCAGTAGTTTGATTATGCAGTAGGAAGGAGTCCATCGGTAGTAGATGAAAGAAGCAGGAGAAAACTGGTCCAAATGGCTATGGTCACAGAGGGAGATTCTGATCTGTTCCTCTGCTATACTGTGTTTTTTGTTTTTGGTCATTTTTTTTTCATTGCAGTAGTTCTTTTGTTTGGCTGCTGCAAGAATCCAAGTCTGGCTTAAATTAACTGGTGCAATATCAGCTCAAAGCAGAGTTAAGAACTGCTTTGATCAGCATCTGGACCGGATTATTATAATGTATTATAGGTATAATATAATTAAAAATAATAGAATATAATTGTAATTACAGTGCGACACTACAACGGCAATAACTTGTGCAATGTATATTGTGCAATTACTTTTTGATACCCTGTGCAATAACCTGTTTCTCTATATTTAACACCCAGTGCAATAACTATATATATATATATAAATATAAATGTCCATCTATATAAATAACCATGTAAGCACGCTGTGCAATAACCCTTTATAGTGATCCTACTATTAAAAAAAAGAAGCTGTCAATGTGTACGCACTGCATATGCTGTGTATATCCCATGCAACTTTTTCTTTCTTTGGCACATTCTTCTCCTTCTCCACTATTTGAGCCGATGTAACGAGTGAATTTCTCCACTTTGAGATCAATAAAATCAATCAATCAATAATCATCAACCAATCAAAATGTGGTGGTTTCCATATTTAAAGATCCTCAGCTATTTTCACATTTATATACTGAACTGAACAATTTTACAAAAAAATTCAATTGAGATTATTTTTAGCAATAATGCGATTGCAATTTTAATATTGATTTTCTCTTGCACGTACTATAAGCATGTCCATGTTTCAATTTAGGGTTTCAGTTTTTTCATGATCTTGAAAGCTTGCTTGCTTCTATTTGCATGCTTGGATTTGCGTGCTGGCTCTCCCTTCTGTGTGGCGACAAACCCTCTTTAAGCATATTACCGCCACCTTAAGAGCTGGAGGGAGAAATGTATTGTTTTATTCTAGTTAACTGTAATGTTAATAAAATCGATTGCCTTTGCAACTTAAAAATTGCCTTTTGTGAAATTGCGATGATATTGCAAATTATATTAATTGCCCAGCCCTAGTATATAATGAATTAAAGACGGAAAAAGAAACAGTAAAAATACTTGGGGTCAACACTTTAAATAGATTAATTAAGCTTAAATACCATAACGCTACTGTTGCTTCCTTAGTTAGTTTGATTTAATCTGGGGTTGGAGTTAAAGTAGTTCAGTAGAGATCGGCACAGTAACTATTTTCTAAGGGGAGCTGTTACCAGGTACGTTTGCTGGGTTGCAGGAAATACATGGGCACTATTTCTGGGTTGATGCTTAAAATTTTGAAGTCTAATCTTTAAATTAATGAAAAGCTGCATTTAACACCTACTTGAACCCATTAGATATTTTAGAGAGGATTCAGGATTATAAAGCTCTCATAAACATGCATATCGATACATACATATTTGTTTAAAGATTATGCCGTTTGTAGGGGTCCTTTGATGGATTGTGTGATTTGTGTGGTTGAACTCTCTCCTTTACAATGTGTAGAAATACAAATGTATCTGCCATATTGTGTAAAATAAGTACTCTATCCGTAGATGAGAAACAGAGGAGATTTATTTCAACCGATGTCACGTTTTTTCTACTATTGTGCAACTCTATTTTAATGTTCATAAAAACATAATCCATTTTTTCCTCAAAATGATCTTCTTGATCACCACATTTATCTAAATAGTGGTTTATTCTGTTGATCTATTGACAGTCTTCTATAAAACGGCGTTTTTTTCTGCCCGATTGTGTCTTTACCTCCATTGGAGTTGGTCTCTCCTTTACATCACCGGTCGCTCTGCGATTGTTTTTCCCTTCTTTGCCTACTGGCAGCTGTCTCTAGAGTCCAACATCTCAGCCGCTCTCATTCTCAGACCAACCCTCATGTCATTTCAACATTTTGTCCTTTTTTTTTTTTATATATTATTTATAAAGAACTGATTCCTTTTCAACACATTTGTAAATGGTCCAGTGATGTGTTCTACAATCTAACCAATTACTGTTTCAGCGGGCAAGACTCCAGGGATCCGGAACATACATGGCCTGAAGGTACCCATCTCAATAATTGTTTCGGCTGCCTTACATGGGGAAGGGGATGGAGGGGGGGTAAAGTTGAGTCAAATGGATTGGCAACGCTGTGTTCCACTTATTGAAATGTCAATTGAAGTCAAGGCTCTCCTTTTCTTTCACTCATTCCTCTTTTCTTTTCCGCTCCCCTGTCCATGTTTATGCATGGAGATGTGTGGCTCTGTCAGAGGGCTCCACTTTCTCCTTCCCATCCCGGTTCTCATTCTGGGAAAGTCGTTGTAATATAAAGGTGTTCCTGAGAACTCCTGATTCCCCTCTAGAGCATGATGATCCGTGAGATAGGAGGAATATTCCTGTTGGTTAGAGCAAAATCAGGCAATAAGAAGACGTCATTGTTCAACCATGAAATTCTCATTACAAGCCCCCAAATGGCCTTCCGCAGACCTTCCCATTTTATGTTCAGCATATGTTGCTATTGAAAGTCGCTGCTAATTATCATGGGTTAAATGACTTAACACCTCCTCCATCTCTCCCGATGATCCATATTACATCCATCTGCATTTCAATGACAAACTCAACCCCCATAAAAACACAGACAGTGTTTTTATTTAACCCATCCTCAGAGGAGCTTTTGTAACGTCCACTGAACTGTGTCAGGTTTTTTTCTTTTCCTTTTTTTTTTAAGGTCAAAAGTCTGTTTGGAGAAGATGATGTTCTCTGAAAACCTTTAGCCGTTTGATAATCTTTCCCCTTTTTAATAGCACAAAAGTAATTGGCTAAGGGGAACCTTGGTGGCATTTAAATGAGGTTTCCCTGGGCACTAATTAAAGGGAGAATCCCTGAACTTTTGCAACCCACCACATCGGTCTTTTGACCTCAATTAAAGTTATTTTTAGTGTCTACTTTACAGGGTCTCATCTCTTGATTTCTTTTTTTCCCTTTATATCTGGGTTGAGTATCGCAGCCTTTTGAGTAAATAAATGCAGATGAATAGATATAGAACGTAGGGAATAAAAGTCCCCATTGAGGTATAACATTTAAAGCCCTAATCTGGTGATTGCTTTAATCAGTTGTATTTTCTGTACCGTACGCACAGTTTGAACCCTCTCTGTATTTCACTGAAAACTTGAGTTTCATGAACATTTCCAACAAAAAAATTCTTTCATGCATTTGTTTGTTTTATTGCATTTGCGTTTGCTTACCATCAGGTCAACACGAGACCTAACCCAGCCAATGATTGCACTCAGGTGGTCCCAGAATCCTTAGCCAACAACAGGTGAGCTACAGCGCATGGATGAACCTGCAGCTGCTTATACGATAAACCAGTTAAGAGTCATCCAGTCTGGTTTGTGTTGAATGCTTCTTTTATTTTGTTTCCAGTTTAAAGAAATCATCTGCGGAGCTAAAGACGATCTTGACGAATGGGCATGTAAGTTATCCATAAAAGAGAGGAGCGTTCTCCTTGATGGAGTAGTTGCAGCTGATTTACAGATAGAAACTTTCTGCCAACCTCTCTGCTTTGCCCTCACTCAAAAACATCCAACATATTAAGCTTGGATTTAGCATGCATGTAAGGAAATATCTCAGTTTTCTCCATTAACTCAATGAACTAATAGACTTAATATCTGCGGACGCCCTGTATATACTGTATATATCCCATGCACCTTTTTCTTTCTTTGGCACATTCTGCTTCTTTGACTATTTAAGCTGATGTAACTTGTAAATTTCTCAATTTTGAGATAAAGTCAATCAATAAATCTCCCGTCTCTTCCTCTTTTTCCCGACCCTTTCCTTTGTATACACATTCCCTGTTATTTCACATGTATATTCTGCTGACCTGGTGATTATTATTTGCTTTGCACAATTTTGTCAGAAACACAAACTATTTTATGAATGAAGAAGCGTAAAAAAGACTTTATTGATTGTGTGATTGATTGACTATTGATCGCACAGGGGAGAAGTGTACTTTTTACATCAGCTCAAATAGTAAAAAAGAGAAGAAGAATTGACCAAAGGAAGAAAAAGGTGCATGGGATATATACAGTATATGTATTGCGTCCACATATGACATTTTCATTATTTCTTTTCTATTACTTTTATCACTAAAATAAACTTATTTATAATATATTATTTCCCTCAATGAGGAAAGGAGGAAACCAGATGTATGCTGGAACATGGATCACCATTACATAGAATCGGCCTAATAGCAGATCCCACAACGTAGGAAGACCAAAAAAATTTTTTATAATAATAAAGTAAATATAATTAAAGGACAAAATGTTGAATTTCATCTAATCTTTAGGTGTCATTCACAATTTTTAGTCTTTATACAAGCTTACAAACATATACAACAATATATATTCTGCAGTCAGAAATTAGGGATTTGATTAATCTGCAGGTTTGTTTTTTGTAATGTGAGGTGTCATCGTAAAATCCTTTTGAATGCTAAAAGGTTTCCAGTAAAGATTGTATGCCACTCACAGTCATAGGTCATAATTGTTTTGGCTAATGTGTCATCTTTATTTTAAGGTATTTTTATCGTTTTACTTAAGGTATTCATGCCAGTTTTAGCAGGTATTTATGCTAGTATTAGCTTGTTTACGATATTATTTATCTTCTTTTATTTAAAAATATCAAGAAAAATTTTTTACTTTTTTTTCATCAGTTTAGTTTAGTTTATATATATAAAATAAGGCAGATTTAAAGTAACCATAAGTCACTGCCCTCCTCTCCCAAACCCAATATCCCTTTATAAATTGGACAGCAAGTGTAGTATTGATCTCCTGCTGCTGCTCCTCTGTTTTCTCTCCTCATGTTGCTGAACTTGGGCTGACCTGATGCCTGGCTTGTTTATAGCTTCCAATAACAGCGTAGTCCCTTCTGTCTCCAGTTTACAGCCAAACGAACAGCCCTGCCGGTTCTGTGGCATCTCATGTTATAACATTCAGGTACCACAACTGTTTACATGTGTTTGTCGCCCTGTAGATAAACGCCCAGGATATCCACTATCAGGAGCAGCTTGGCCATGGGAACGGAGGCACAGTTTATAAGTAAGCAATGCTAACACATTGGCACCAACATTACAAACATAAAGTTAATGAGGCTGCTGTAGAGCTAAAGTTTTTAGGTATCTGCTCAGGTAAGTATGCACACAGGGTTTAATTGTGACCTTTATTTAAGTTCACTGTGTGAAGAGTTCTCCATCTTTTTCCCCCAATCTTTTGTTTAGTCATTTATCTCTCTGTTTGGTGCAACATCCGTCAGCCCAGTCTGTGTCTCCACCTCCACTTATTTATTCTGGTTTGAAGGTTGCGAACATATATGATATTGATTTGGGGGCTATAAGGTATGACAGCCATTGACCTAATGGGTGTGGAGTGTAGCACTTTACTTGCCACCATGAAGGGTCCCATCCAATAGACAAAATGATTACAGACCTGCTGCGTTATGACAAGGTTGGCATTTCTGTTCCTCTTCTATCTTTCTCTCCCCACCTTCTCTTTCTATTTCCCATCAATTCCCTGCAATTGAGCTGTTTTATTGAGATTGAAGTATTGATCACTGCTAAGCCTAACCTTGACTTTCTTCAGACTTCCCTCAGCAAACCTTGTAAATCTTTTCATTCTGACACCAACATCAGAACATCTTTTTTTTTTGTCATTTTTTCTTTTCAAACTTCTTTCACTGCTTTGCGACTTTAAAACTGTTCCAACGGGCTTCGTCCTTTTAGTTGTCACCAGAAATGGTTACACTGCACTGAAGAAAGCCGATACTGCAAGCCCAACAACTTCTCTGGTCAATTTAGTCCAGTAAAAATCTATATGCGTTGGTGGTAAAAATGTCATGGTTGAAGGAAGGAGATAAAGCAAAAGAAAAGGAAAATAAACGGAGTTAGAAAAAGCAGCTTTCACTTTTTTGTTTTACAGTTTAGCCTAATTGAATATCCTGATGATAACTTAATTTAGGTATATTTGGCAATTCTTAAAGGTGTTTTTTGGAACCAAACTTAAAAAAAATCAGAAGAATTATTCATATTTTACCGTTACATTACCTTTTAAAAAAAAAAAATATTTTTCATAATTCATTAATTAAATGTGAAATGAATGAATTGACTTCACTATTAGGGAGCCACAGATTCTACATGCACTCACTGTTTGGACAGACGCTGTTTTTTGGCTTAGACTACGCTTCTATCCTTGTTAATCTCTGCTGTTTGGTCCAGCTTAGATTGGGTTCATCACATGTGAATAGAGCCTCAAATGGCTCCCCACCTATTAACCTCTTACCCTGTTTATGACCCAGAGCCATTTCGACTCAATTCAATGTTACCAACAACTCGGCTCTTCATAGCCACACGTTGACCTGCTCATCCATCAAAGTCACCTTTTTTTATTTATTTTTTTTTCATTACGCACTGTTCACCAGTCTGAGCGGTGCTGCAGCTAATAAGTACTGTAGCAAGGATGTCCATGAGTCATGGATCCAACAGGCAATTAAAACAGCACATTTGCCTGGCTGTGACTGTGTCAACACCTACTTAGGCAACGGCAGCTGTTTCTTTAGCATCACAGCCCATTTTCTCCATTGATTTGGTTTTCCTGCCTCATTGATTGGAGTGTATATTGAAGTACCAAACCTATTTGGTTAATGGTTGAGAGGTTTCAGGTTTGTATCCTGGCTTCTGGGAGCAAAGTCTAAGTGGGATACTCGTAAATAATCTAATCCTCTCACACTATTGAGATGTATTTGTTTTTTTTAAAGACTATAGTGATATGAAAAAAGGATGTATTTTAATCCCAGAAAAGTTTTGAAATGGATTATAGTTGATTTTATATATATATATATATATATATATATATATATATATATATATATATATATATATATATATATACACACACAAAAAGCAGAGGAAAGTCGTTGTGGTTGACATAGCAATACTAAGTGACTGCAATATCAGGAAAAAAGAACATGGAAAAACTATATAAATACCAGGGGCTCAGAGAAGAGCTGGAGAAAACCTGGAAGGTCAAGGCATCAGTGGTACCCCTGGTCATTGGGGCCCTCGGGGCAGTGACCCCAAAACTGGAGGAGTGGTTACAGCAGATCCCTGGAAATACATCAAACATCTTGGTCCAGAAAAGTGCAGTTCTAGGAACAGCAAAGATACTGAGCAGAACCCTCAATCTCCCAGGCCTCTGGTAGAGGACCCGAGCTTGGAGGAAAAAGGGGGAAGACCGCCCGCAATGGGGTTTTAATATGAAAGAAAATGGTTTGTGTTTTCCAACTTCAACAATCCTTTCTACAAAACTGACAGAATACAAATAAATAAAAAAAAAATTTGCTCCACTTTATCCCAGTTACCCACAACTTTTTACCCACTTCTCCAAACAGAAAAAAAAGTATGATCATAAAAACTTTTTTTTTTTTACATAGCCTTTTTATAAATTACCTCTGGATCACAATAAATGACTGTTCAATTGAGAGATGTCTGTTTATCCTTACTTGACCACCACTACTGCTGTTAATGTCACCAGATCAGACCTTCCCATTTTGGGCTACATAGTCCTGGCAAACAGTCTCCTCAGAAATTTCCATAATTTTAACTTCTTATAATTATAAATGAGAATAAACTTTTCATATAATCTCTTTAAGAGTGCAAACTCAGGGGCTTGCTCATAGCAGCCGTTAAAATGTCTGTTTAGGACAGCAAAGGATAAAAGAGTGGCTCTGGGGCCTGTCACCACTGGTCCGGTGATATTATGAGTTAGTCAGGGACAAAAATGTAGGCAGGAAAGAGCCTCGATCAGCTGTAACATTGGTGAGGGTAGAGGGTGGGTGACGGGCAGAGGAGGCACAGTGATCAGGTACCTACAGAAAATTGGGGTGCTTCCTCAGCATTCAGCAACATGTTGGATAAACGAACTGAACTCCTTGCTATAAAGTGATAAAACGTCAGCAACAACATGTTGATGTTCTACAGTCAATTTAGTTTGTAGCCTGTTGTAAATTGTAAAAGTTTTACTGATGTTCCAGACTATAAAGCACACCACACTATAAGCCGTGCCCACTATATTTTTTAAAAACGGGAAATGTATATATAAGCTATATATATAAGCTGCTGATATCTACTGAACTGTCTGCCACCAAACCTGTAGTGGGAGCACTACATATTGCCCCTGGAGTAGGGATGAAAAAGAATGCTATCTCCCATTAGGTTGTTGGTAATCAGCAGTAAGAGCAAACAAGCTGAAAGATGGGCTTTCGTCAGCCCAGTATCTTCATTAGTTCGGCAGCTTTAATGCATCAAAAAAATGTCAGAAGAAGTGAATTCAGGACATTTGTTCTCCATCGTGCCTGCTGCTAGCATGTTCTTGTGCTAAATGAAAATTAGCCCTTTATTCTTTCATTTCCAATTGTGACTTCTCCTTCTGGTGGTTAGGAAAAATCCACAGAAAAGCTGCACCTTCTTATAAGCTACATGGTTCAAAGTGTGCAAAAAAAGCTTATCCTGAAAATACGATAAAAAAAAAACTTGAATTAGTTCAGTTCAGTAGCTTTTATTTGTCCCAGTATGGGCAATTTTTTTGCAGTAGTAGTACATCTTTCACACACGCGTTCACATTTCACAAATCACAGATAAAAAATAAAAGAAGAAGCACAAGAAACACATAAAATATTTTAAAAAGACAAAAGTAAGGTGGATAAAAGACAGAGAAAAAAATAAAATAAATATGTGCAGCATTAAGAATTAAAGATGGAACTTTCTGTATTGGATGTTCATATTTATACTTTAGCAATAAGCAAAAAAGAACAGAGACTTTTGGGAAAGTGGACACCAAAAGTATTTTGAAATAGATGGAGGTTAATTCGACAAGATATATATAAGAGATCGACGCAACACTGTGTGGCTGTTGGGGTGAGTTCCTTTTTTTTTTCAGGAAGTGAGAATGTCCTTGTTCTGAATCAGACAGATTGTGGACTAACAAACTTGAGCTGTCACTTTTAGTTCTTGCTTTGAATGCAGAAATGTAAGATGTTTGTGGACATCTGCATTTAGGGTTCAGTCTGTTTCAGCCTGAAGACCAATTACAGCAGTGTTAGGCTGTGAGAAGCGCAGGTAGAGTGTCATCCATGTAACTCTGTCTAATACACGTGTCTGTTAGCCTAGATCCAAAACGTCCGTCGTCTGTAACCCACAGCCCCAACTTCAGAGACACAGTGAGAGCCCCTATGAATACTACATGATGGAGCTTTTATTACAGAGCAGGCTGGAGTGTAAATAAGATCCAGGCAATGGGGCACATTTACTAGGGTCAGATCAGGGGGAAGTGACGGCGGGGGGGTAGGGTGCGTTGTAACCTTGTCCCCTCGTCTCCCGCTGTCACCAGCCTATCACTGTAACTCATACGACGACATTCGGCCCTGAGGTGGTCAAGGACGGCCTGAAAATAACGTTTTAACCAGCCGGTCGACACACCTTCTCTCTTCTCTCTCTGACCTTCTTGACCATTTTATGTAGCATGTACACCTACAGTTTGTGAGCCAACTCGGTGATACATCACTGGTGCTTTGTTCAAAGCTTATTGAACACCCTGAAAAAGCTGCATATGTTTCACTCCATTCCTGACATTCAGCTCTGTGCCTCGTGATCTATTAAGCATAGCAACTTATGAAACACAAGGAAGAGATGTTTGGCGTTGCAGTAAGTCTCCTCTGCCTTACTCATACACTTCTATCCCTGCGTCCTGCATCAATTAACATCCTACTCTTAATTAAGAGGCAGCTGTAATGCTTAAGCATCATTGACTGTAGCTAATAGGAGGAGAAAGAGATCAAAATGCAGAAAGCTTTTCCTCTAAACTCCAACAATTTTAGTGAATTTTCTAGTTGCGTATTAGGCCTCTCCATCTTTTTGATTAGGCAGTTTTTACTTCATCAGAGATACTTTTTTTATTTATTTTTTTTCACGCTTTTACGAATATTTTTACTATACAGGTTAGCCACATTAGGTGTTTATCCTCTTGGTGAATCCCTAACTTGGCCCTAATAGTTGTCATTAATTAAACTTCTTGGCCAGTTTAGTTGTGTGCACCAAAAGAGCAATTTGACACCCCAAAGTTGGAAACATTAAACACACTTTTTACCACACACGATGTCTCTTAGGAGGGCCCTGTTGCATGTTGTCTGGTAAGTATCGCATGTCTAAAACCTGCAAACTAACCGGCCCGCTTTACCTACCCTGAACCCATCTGCTCGTTGTCATTTTACAGCTGTTGTACAGTATTCGTCCTTGAGGATTGTGTGTTGAGAGCTCTTGAGGTATTGTCAGGGCTACTGTAAACCAACCTTCAAGGTCGGTAACTAAAGCCGAGGCATGCTGCTAAGGTGTTCGCTAATTAAATCATTATGGGGGCGACGGTGACTGCTGCTTACCTGCTACTCTAGTTGCTTGGATCTGGTTTCAAACATTTAATTATTGCTGACTTAAGAAAATAAACAACTTTCGGTATTTTATGTTGGCCTTTAGGAAGCCTTTTCTTTTAGAGATTTCAGAAGAATTATTTTACTCGTTAATCCAAGTTTAATATGGGTATGGAGCAGTTTCAAAACAATTTTCATGGTTAATTTTACTGAATGCTTATGAAAACTTTGAAAGTAGATTGGGAATCAATTTCGACACGTCTTTAATACAACAGAAAAGAGAAGGTGAAATAATCTGCAAATACCTGCCTCAGTGTAAATGTTACCTTTAGACTGCAAAAACGAGCTAGGAAGTCAACATTTCTTAAATTAAGTGTATTCACCCTTAATTGAATGGTGAATAAGATCATTTGACAATGGAATGAATATTTCTAGATAATATTTCTAGATAATATGCACTTGAAATAAAACAATTGCATAAAGCAATTGTTTTTTCTTATTTTAAATGTAAATTGTCTTGTTCCATTGGCAAAGTGTCTCACTTACCTCCTTAATTCAAAAACAAATGCACTTATGTTAAGAAAAAAAAAAATTTAGATTTCAATTTTTTTGCAGTGATAGCTGATTAAAAAAACAAGACAAAAATATGCTAAAGACAAGTTTAAAAGTCTACAAATAACTGCTAATTTCTTTTTTTTATACAGTCCGAATGAGCAATTAAAGATAAGGAAACTATGTGTCAGATTATAATTTGAGTTTTATCTATTGTTTTTTAGAGCGTACCATGTTCTCAGCAAACGTGTTTTAGCTGTAAAGGTGAGAATTCTTTTGTTTCTATTAAATTAATTATAATCACTTATTTACTTTGCCTTCACAATGTTATGTTCTGAGTCATGTTATCTTTTCTTTCATAATTTTTGATTTGCAGGTGATTCCTCTGGACATCACAGTGGAGCTACAGAAGCAAATCATGTCTGAACTGGAAATTCTCTACAAGGTTTGTTCTACATTTATCTGTTCCTCCTAGTCAAAACAATTAGTTTTGATCTACTCTGTTAATGAACTACTAAAATAATATTCATTTTATTAAGCATCATACCCTTATAAATGTTTATTTATTCACTAAAAAAGCTGTATTAGGTTCAAATATATGTAAGGCATTTAGAAAGTCATTATTATGAGAACAGATTGGCTCTGACAAAGTTCTGACACTACAATATCACAGCATGACATAGATTATACATGCACAACAATAGAAATTCTTTTTAGACATAAAAAAGGAAAAGCACTTTATTCAGTTCATTTCAGTTTATGTACAGACAATTCAACCAGATCATCCAGTCAGATAGGTTCAAAGCTTTCCAAGGAAAACCAGCTGATTGCATTGACTCATTGACTTGAAAGAAATCCCTCACACCAACATGCTTAAAGCGACATTGGAGAGGAAAAGCTCCCTTTTTAAAAGGAAGAAACCTCTAGCACACGGGTGTCAAAGTGGTTCCAGAAAGGGCCGTGTGGCTGCAGGTTTTCTTTCCAACCAAGCAATAGCACACCAGACTCCAGTCATCTCATCAAGTGAGTCCAATCTGAACATGATGACTTGATGAGATGACTGGAGTCTGGTGTGCTATTGCTTGGTTGGAAAGAAGACCTGCAGCCACACGGCCCTTTCTGGAACCACTTTGACACCCTGCTCTAGCAGAACCAGGCTCAGTGTGAGCGGCCATCTGTCGAGGTCGACTGGGGTTCAAGGAGACAGAAGAAGACGTAGAATAAGAAGCAGAGATACAAAAGGCAACTGTCAATCAGCTCCACAGAAACACAAAGCCAGGCAGATGAGCTCTGAGCCAGCTCCCATGTCAGAGGATGAGGGAGAGCACATACAGTTTGTCTCATACTGAGAAACAGGACTTAACCCCCCCAAACATTAAGTATATGACAAAATGGCTGGCCTCCATGGTTGGCGCATCCTTTCACTCAACATGAAATAACCACTGCACATAAAATAACTAAGGGAATTCTACCTACCATCATGGCAGTTAGCAACAGAGTGAATCCCTATATGGGGTCACATGGGAACTATGTATACAGTCGGAATAAATTACCATAACAAATCCCCTTTTTTTATAAAGCACTTTGAAATGATAAAGGTAATAAAAGTGCTGAAGGTGCAACTGACAGCTACAGTAAAATTAAAAAAGATAAGCAAAATACAGAAAAGCTAAAGCAGTACATAAGATACATGTATATTTATTGATATGTACAAACGTATATAGAGATGGAGAAAAGATTAGAAGGTGAATGGTTCACAAAACTCAGTAGTTTCTAAACACTGGAATAAGCAAGCACCACTAATACTTTTATGATTCTTATTCCCTTCATTAAATCTTAATTGTTATGGATATTGGTTGAATTAACAGTTTGGCGTTACTGTGGCAGTCTGTGGCTAAAGTGGCAATTTTTGTGCACTTAATCAGGATACCCCGCTGACACTTCTGCTTATTTGTCAAAGCGGGCACCAACACAAAAGAGGCTGAAAAACTGCTGTGTTTAAACCAGTCTAACCTTATCTATATTTTTTAAACAGGTGATAGGAGTTTAAACTCTTTCTAAAAATCGCCAAAACAGCATTAGTTTATATTATCAAAGAATAATTACAGTTACTGTGAAATGTCAGGGCTGAAAAACATCAACCATTGTTCTTGGGCTTAGCTTAGCATTGCTCATCAATTACAATGTTTTAAGTTGTCATTTTCTAATCCCAGCCTCTGCTTTATTGCAGTGCGATTCGCCCTACATCATCACTTTCTTCAGTGCCTTCTTTGTTGAGAACAGGATTTCCATATGCACTGAATTTATGGATGGTGAGTTTTTCTGCTACATTTCCTTTTTTCCCCCTCTGTGCTACCTACAGCTGTGCAGAAGGGACTTTAGGGAACAGGCCTGTGTTTCTGTGCTGAGTATCCATTTACACTTCTGCAGATCAAAGGATCGTCTGATCGCTGTGAGCTGCTTAGCATGGCAGTGTGCTAAAAGCTACAAGGGCGTGATAAATCTTGACTGAAGTGCATTTGTAGATGTATTTGTATGCGTGGGTTTTGAGCGGTCTGAGATTGGGGACTGTACAATTTAGATGTGTGTGTTTGTTGGCGGGGGGGTTGTTGTTAATGCATTAATGTTGTTAATGCAACAATTCCCCTGTTTCACACATTCTGCTGTGCATCAGTAAAGTCTGCATAACTTCTGATGACTTTTACCTTTAAGGAGTTTTTTTTTTAACTTCTATCACATGTAAAAGCAAAGACGGGGTTATTTTATACAAGCCATTATGTCTCCTAAAGGCACCGTTTTCTTTTTCCTATTTTTTAAATTCACAACTACTTCGACCAAAAATAAATTTCATTTTCACATTTTTTTAATTTAGTCAAACCTAACAGTTCATTATTTGATCGATCACTTTAAAAACTGAACTAAAATAGTTTTCATTTCAAGCTAAGGCCTTTATTTCTCTCATCTATTTTTTTTTCTTTTTTTGCTTTAAAGGCCCATGAGGTAAAACCAACCATGGTGAATAATCTTTATTTTCTTCTGTGCAGGTGGATCCTTGGACGTCTATAAAAGAATCCCAGAGCACGTCCTGGGAGGGATCGCCGTTGCAGTAAGTTTATTGAAATCAGCCATTATTAAATCTGCAGTCATTTCAGACGTTTATTTTTATCTTGGAATATTAAAAGCTGAAAAGTCTAAAGGTTTTTATGACTTTCAGGTCCCTTTCTCCCTGATTTTTTTTACTTTTTTATTAGTATTATTTTTTTTTTTTTGTGGCTGCTAGAACCATCTTTTTGATTGGGGCGGCCTTGAAGTCGATTAATGCACATCTCCATTCCGCACTCATTACCCTCCTCTGGTCTCCAACTCCTCTTTTTGTGTTGCTTCCCCTTTAACTTTGTCCATAATCAAACACTGACAGCTATTTAATCAGTGCTAATTCTGTTTCACAGCTTTCCCTCCTTTCTACTGCCACAGTTGTTAATTATCACTGAAAGAGAAGCACCCGGGAGGTTGCCAGTTGTTGCACATTGTACAACAATCTTTCAAGGCAGTTTTGTATTTTTATTTTTCATTCATCTCACCATGTTGTATATCAGCGCTGGCTTTCAAAAGCCTTGGAAGTAGCCTTCATGTTGTGTAAATGAAGAAATCAACACAATGTGGTGAAGAGCGTTTGAAAATGAATATTAGTTAAACACCAGTTGAGCTTCTGTCAGGAGGAGGAAACGACTTCAACGCGATGCACCAAATTTCTTTGAAACCTTTTAAATCATTCAACTCTTTCTGCAGGGTTATCATTTCAAGGCATTTCTTTCTTAGTATCTTTTTACTCCAATTATGGGACTAATTTGCAAGCTATATGATTGGTGATTGCTATCGAGAGCCTTATTTCCAACAAAGTTCTCCCTTTAACAAGGAAGGGAGGGAAAGGAAAGAAAAGGTTTTGCTCACTACTCGATGTTTACTCATCTTTGGAGCCTTGTTCAGAATTTCAACCCAGTGTACTAAGACATCCATCCATCCTTTTTCCGTCACTCTTATTCCTGCTGGCGTCGCGAGGGGTGCTGGTGCCTACAGGCGAGAGGGGGGGTACTCCCTGGACAGTTCAACAGTCCATCGCAGAGCGTGTACTAAGACATAGCTTTGATATTTAGTGGTTACACTCTAAAACAGTATAAAACATATTTTTTATCACATCTATTTCAAAGGAATTTTTTGCGATACTTGTACCCATTTTCATGATCTTTACATACCTGTTCAACATGTTGTGAAAAAGCATTCTCCACAGCTGCAGCATGTCTGCTTCTCCCTGTTTGTGATTGCTGGAATTTTTCTTCTTCAATTAAGTTAAAAAATAATTCATTAATCCCAAAGGGAAATTAAAGGCCTGAAAGAGGATTCTGAGGTGGAAGATATGTCTGACTGTTGTTTGTGTATTTTTGAATTATGTGCATGTGTCAGTGTCCCCTCATTCGCAAAAGTTCTCTATGCTGGAAACACCTCACCATAACTCTCAATTTTAGGGCTTCCTTGCATAAGAAATATGAAAACATTCAGAATATGTTTAAAAGTTCTCTTTTTGTTCATATTTCAAGTGTGCAAGAGCTTAAAGGAATAGTACACCCAAAACATGATTAGCCTTCATTTTCTACTCACCTCTATGCTGAACAACACTCTGGAGTATTTTTTTTGATATCTCAAATGCATCTGGAGATCTGGGAGGCTTCTTGCTGTCTGCTCACATTCAAATAATGGAGGTGCCCAGCGCCCGAGACAGAAAGGTCCATAAAAGTCCACAAAAAACGTGTCAATATTCCTCCATACTGCTCATCCAGAATTTACTCGAAACGAAGTCATTTAGAATGTTTTTAGAGCATAAACGGTAGTGTATAGGATTTCCTGAAAGCGCGCGCCAGCGCGTTCAGGACGCTACGGAAGCCGGCAGACCAAACCAGATGAAAGTGCATATTCAGCGTCTGCTCTGCCGATAATGCAAGCGTAGAAGAAGAAATGTGCTTTTTACCTGTGCAAAGAAAGAAACAACGAAAGAAAAATGTCTGAGGACTTCAGTGTTGAGGAAGAGCAGGAGTTCTTTGCCGAGCTGAATGCGCACTTTCATCTGGTTTGGTCTGCCGCGGTTTCCGTAGACTCGTGAACGCGCTTTTAGGAAATACTATACACTACTGTTTATGCTCTAAAAACATTCTAAATGACTTAGTTTCGAGTAAATTCTGGATGCTACCCACTCAGGACACTTGGAATACATTGGACGAGCAGTATGGAGGAATATTGACACGTTTTTTGTGGACTTTTATGGACCTTTCTGCCTCGGGCACCATAGACCTCCATTATTTGAATGTCAGCAGACAGCAAGAAGCCTCCCAGATCTCCAGATGCATTTGAGATATCAAAAAAGTACTCCAGAGTGTTGTTCAGCATGGGGGTGAATAGAAAATGAAGGCTAATCATGTTTTGGGTGTACTATTCCTTTAACACATGCATGACACCGGCGCTCAGTTTTGTGTATTTGAGCATAACGCTTGAAAATGACACCAGTTAAACTTTTAACAATATAGACATGTTATAAATACTAACGTTTAAATTCTCCACAATTCAACTTCCAAGTTAATTTAAGGAAACCATGAGCACCAAAGCACATTTAATAAAGATATAGCTACTTTTTAAATCAGAATTTCTGCAATAAAGCTCTGACTTTCTACCTTTGAAGCGATCCTGGTCCAAATTCAGAAGGCATGGCTTTTCGACTAGAGATGTTTTCCAATAGGAGAACTGTGATTTTCATTTGTTATTGTTGGACCCCCAGATAGGTTTGCGTTTTATTGCGCTTTTCCACCAAAAAGATTCCAGGTCATTAGAGCCAGCTTAGAACTGGCTCTGTAAGTGAAACATTTTGACTTCCAATATCATTCAGATCTAAAGGTATTAACCCTTTATAGGGCAAGTTACCATTTTTGATCACTTCCATCCTTACCCCTTACAAATGGAGGGCCATTTCTTTTACTCTGTGTGTTTTTCATGAATTTCTTATAGAAGCACTTTTGTTATTTTTCTTAACATATACGGGCAAGTTGGCGTTTCTTGTTATTACATCGACATTCATTTTTGCCATCAAAATGTACATATTTTTTAACGTTGCAAAGTTAATAAGGCCTTGTCCTGGATTCCAATAACACACTACAAAAAATGATCTATAGATTTGTGAAAAGGTCTTAAAATAAGTGTATTTACCCTTAATTTGAGTAGGTAAATAAGAAAATCTCCCAGTTGAAGGAGCATTTTTATGCCTTAAAATCAGATTATTTGATATTATGCTCTTGAAATAGGAGACTGGGTTTTTCCCCTTATTTTAAATGTAAATGTTCGTATTCTATTTGCAAAGTATCTCACTTACCTGCTCAGTTAAAAAAAGCACTTATTTTAAGAAAAACTGACTTCCTTAGATTTCAGTTTTTTGCTTGAAATTTAGATAGTCTTTCACTTAATGCCCTATAAAGGGTTAATGCGTTTTTTGATTCTTGCTTTTTTCTGTGTTTTTGTAAGGGTTGGTAACACATTAAGACAATTTAACCTTACACATAATACTTATTATTCTGGTTTTTCTGCAAACTGGTGCTCCAAGATCACTTTTTTATTATTGAATGTTTCACAATCCTGATCGGCAGATCACACTTGCTGTTGGACAAGCTTTTAGTTTAAAACGCTGCAAACGCCACTGCAGATTTTAATTAAAAGGCCAACAGAGGCGAGTTGGAGATCACATCCATGCATTTAGTGGAAAACAATCAGCTGTGAACGGCAGCTGATGATGGCCTATTGTCCTACTTAAACACTGTGACTGCTGATTTCAAAATTATATTCTTATTCTGATGCTAGATTTTTTATTGTTGTGTTTTCATGTTTGATTGATTAAAAATGGAAGAAACCTAAACTTAGGATTTTTGTTCATGTAAAGGCTAAACGGGTGAAGCTGTAATTTGTAGTTTTTTTTGTCATGCTTGCCTCCATAGGTCGTGAAAGGCCTGACATATTTGTGGAGCCTGAAGATACTTCACAGAGGTGAGTAAGATTGCTGAGTAAAAAAAAAAAAGAAGAGGTGCAGAGTTGATAAAGACAAGCAGCCGAGTGCTGATTTTGCAGTTCTATCAAGCAATTTGTCTCCACAGATGTCAAGCCTTCCAATATGCTGGTGAACACCCGAGGACAAGTCAAGCTATGTGACTTTGGTGTCAGCACGCAGGTACTCTGATTTGTTTGCGTCGGAGCGAATGAAAGAAGGAAGGATGGGAAATGCTCGGAAGCGACCGGCGCAGTCCTGTGCGCACGTGGTCAGCTTGTCAATCACAGTATTCATTTTACACTCAAGACATCAGAGCCATCCCTAGGGTCATCTTCTCACATTATTCACCCCCCCTTCCCACCACCGCCATTGTTCTGCTTCCTCTGAAAAAAAGGCTATAATTATGACCCTCAAACACAACGCCGAGCCTCATTGATATGTATTCAGTAGATTGGAGGGGAAAGCGTGGGTGGCAGACAATAGCCTTGTCATCGTGTGTGTGTGTGTGTGTGTGTGTGTGTGCACATGCCAAAGTGTGTTTTGTAATGTAATCATCAGGGACAGACCTTCACCGTCCCCAAACCAAAACACCCAACAGTAGGGACTCCCCCCCCCCCCCCCCCCCCCTCTTTCACTATCCTCACACAAACAGTATCCCTTCCCTGAAAATCTGGTAATTTAGTTTAGTTTTGGTTTACTTCTCCGCTTCTCAATGCTGATCAGACTTGTCCTTTCCCTCTTTTCATTTATATATATACAGTGGGGAAATAAGTATTTGACCCCTTGCTGATTTTGCAGGTTTGCCCACTTACAAAGAATGTAAGTGGGCAAACATAATCATATGTACATTCTAACAGTGAGAGACAGAATCCCAAAGAAAAATCCAGAAATTCACATCATATGAATATTTAAAAATTGATAACCATCTGATGATGAAAAACTACTATTTGACACCGTGGACAAACTGCATGTTAATATTTTGTAGAACAGCCATTATTGGCCAAACGGTTTTTATAGTTTGTGACAAGGTTTGTGCACATTTCGGCAGGGATGTTGGCCTACTACTCCCTGCAGACAGCCTCCAAATCATTCAGGTTTGTCGCCTGACAACTCGAATTTTAAGCTCCCTCCAAAGATTTTCAATTGGATTCAGGTCTGGAGACTGGCTAGGCCACTCCAGAACCTTGATGTTCTTCTTCTTCAGCCACTCTTTTTTTGCTTTTGGGGTGTGCTTAGGGTCGCTGAAACACCCATCCTCGACCCATCTTCAGCTCTCTCACTGAGGGAAGGAGATGTTGATCCAGAATTCCATGATACATGGCCCCGTCCATCCTCCCCTCAATACGATGGAGTTGTCCCACCCCCTTGGCTGAAAAGCACCCCAAAAGCATGATGTTGGCACCACCATGCTTGACGCTGGGGATGGTGTTCTTTGGGTTGTACTCGATGTTCTTTGCCTTCCAAACACGATGAGTTGAGTTGAGGCCAAAAAGTTCTATTTTGGTCTCATATGACCACATCGTCCAGGTGGTGAATGGCGAACTTCATGCGGGCCTGTACATATTTCTTCTTGAGCAGGGGGACCTTGCGTGCGCTGCAGGATTTCAATCCATGACGGCGTAGTGTGTTACCCACCGTTTCTTTTGTAACTGTGGTCCCAGCTGCCTTCAGTTGATTCATCAGTTCCCCCCTTGTGGTTTTGGGATGATTCCTCACCGTTTGCATGATCAGGGACACCCCACGAGGCCAGATCTTGTGTGGAGGCCCAGATCCAGGGAGGTTGGCGGTGGTGTGGTGCTTCTTTCATTTCCTGATAACTGCACCGACAATTGATCTTTTCTCTCCAAGTTGCTTTCCGATTCTCTTGTAGCCCATCCCTGCCTTGTGCAGATCAACAATCTTGTCCCTGATGTCCGTAGAAAGCTCTTTGGTCTTGCCCATGGCAGTAATGTTGGATGCTGGTTGTTTGGGTGTTGACAGGTGTCTTTTATACAGGTAACGAGGTGAGGCAGGTGTATTTGATGTAGATAATTGGTTGGGATTGGGGCTGTGTCTTAAAGAAAGACCAAGTTGTAGTAGCCAGAATACTTGCTGTTTGGTAGGGGGTCAAATACTTGTTTTTCCTCATCAGATGGTGTATATATATATATATATATATATATATATATATATATATATATATATATATGTTGTCTTTTAAACTCATACATCCTTCGTCCCTTCTTCACGTTCTCTAGGACATAATAAGAAAGCATACATTCATCAGGCCACAGATGACATAAACCACCTTTGTCCCTCGTTGAAGGTCTGGGTTAGGGTTAGCCCTAACCAAACACAGCTTTCAAGACAGTTTCTATGACTATGACATATAAAAACTATTCATCTTATTGCTGTTTAAAGATCTATTATGTGCTTATAATATGTATTTTTTCTTACATTTGCAGCTTGTAAATTCTATAGCAAAAACATATGTGGGAACCAATGCTTACATGGCAGTAAGTTTGCCTCCTCCTTTTCTAATTTTGAATAAAGTTCTGCTCTTTTTTTTTTTTTGAACATGTAAGACTTTGTTGATTGATTCTAAGGGATCGTTTTCCTTTTTCTCACTAGCCCGAAAGGATATCAGGAGAGCAGTACGGGATCCATGCCGATGTCTGGAGTGTGGGCATCTCTTTTATGGAGGTATGAGGTTTTTGTTTGCCAAGAGTTTGCACAGAAAGAAGTGGAAAATGTACAATCTCTACACAAGTTAAGGTTGCAAAGGGTGGGCAGTTTTCAGAAGCTGTCATTGGGCTTGAAATAAGATGGAGAATTCAGAAATAATCCAAATTTAAAGGTTTTGATGGGCATTACAGAAATTAAGCAAATCAGTTGAAATTTGGTGTGATTCCAACAAATTTTAGCAAATTCAAATTCAAAAACATTCGTCTAATATTTTGTTATTTGCTCATCCTGAGGCTAACATGTTCAGTTTACATCTGTAGTCTTAAGCTCTGGGCCTCAGTGATTCTAGAAGCACCTGGGCAGTTGATTGTGAAACAAATGGATCACGTAGGAGACTGGTTACAATACCTCTGCAGAAACATGTTCATGTCATTGAAGAATAGCAGAGCTGAACTCAACTGAAGTCCATTAAATATGTTTGGTTTAGTCTTTATAATCCTGTAATATATATTTTTACCAACTATGCTTAAAGTCAAAGTGAAGAGACAAATATCAATACTAAAAATTCTGAATTTATTCCTATGTATTTAATAAATTCCAGGAAATTTTGCAAAAAACTGAACTAAAGCCATATTCTTTACGACATCTACAGCTGAAATGGTTAAGGATTGTGTCGACCATAATGTGTGTTGAATCATTCTCCATATTGTTGATCCTTCCATTATCAGACAGCCTTTCAGCTCCACACCTACACTTCCCTGTTCTCTCGTCTTCCCATTTGCACTATTGATTCTCCATTTGTTTCTGCCTGCTGTCGGCCCTGTGCCCTGAAACAAAATGATTCATGCCCCTGTCTCATCTTTGTTTGTCAATAATTTTTGATTTAATCACTACTTTAACAAATATGGATGAGTTCAATATGAGGCCGTCATGTCCAGATTATTAACAAATAATCTGTGATATTGAAGATTACCCAATCTGTGCCACTTGATGCCAATGTATGCATTATGCTAAACTGAGATGATCTTCTACTCCACTGTGTTTAGGTAGATCTGTGTTGGCTTTGAATAACCCAAGGGCTCTGAAAGGCTGCTCCTCATTAAGATGAAAAGTATCCACCTCCTGGCTCTTCTTAAGGGGATGTACCAATCAACCATCCACCTAAAACTCCGCCCCTATGTGCTATATTAAAGAAGGGATTCCCGTTATCCCCTATGTTGTTCACAGAGGGGGGGTTGGAGGGGGGAGGAATTGCTTTGAGGTTAATAAGTTATAGCTGATGTTGTTGGACCAAGAAGTATTAGCAGCGGGTGGGCACTAAGCTAACCTTACAGGCTGAAAGTTTCAGTCTGTCCAATCCGTCCATTTCTCATTCCTGTGCTGGGATAAAATGTTTTACTGTAACAATAAAATCTAAATATATGGTGTAATAGCAGGTTAAACCTATAACTTAATGTATAAATGATACCGCAACCTAAATAACCATTTAAAGCTTAAAGCGGGTATTTGTTCAAACTTCAGCCCAATTGTTCCAGTTGTCTGATTTTACCAACTGATATCACACAAAGTGAATAAAATAAGATTGAGTTCATATTTTTGAATGTTTTAAGGTCTCTTTTATCAAAAATAATATTTCTTCTTCTTCTCACAGCTGGCTCTCGGCATGTTTCCATATCCTCAAGTAAGTGATCAGATAAATGATAAATGTCTAAATACTTGACAGTGTTAATGTCAGTGATGCAGTTCTGCATGGTCTGTTATAAAATGTTAGGGCTGTATATACTATATATTAGGGATGCACGATATTGGGATTTTGGCCGATATCCGATATGGCGATATTTTAAAACTCATGTAGCCGATAACCGATATCTATACCGATGTTAAAGCTGGACAAAAATAAGTAGTCATTGAAAATATAATAATAATTTTGTTATCCATTTCTGACATTTTGAAAAATAATATACTCAAATATATTTTCATATGCTGATATCAAATAGATTTTTAAAAACGCGGTATCGATCTATTTTACTTTCAAAATCTCGTGAAATTTCATCGTTCTGTTACAAACTCTCGTGATATTTGGCAAATTCTTGTGAGATTTTGTTAGTAAAATAGATCAATATCGCGTCAATATATCAACATATAAAAATTTGGCAACATTTCATGAATTTTCTAGGGATTTCGTAGCATAACGATGACATATAGCAATATTTCATTAGTAAAAGAGATTGATATGGTGTTTTTAAATGGTAATATATCAGCAAATGAAGATATTGTGATATTTTTATGTATCAATATTTTTTCCCTCGTCTTTAGAAGTTTTTAAGTCTGTAAAAAAGACGTTTTTGAGGAACAAGAAGAAGTAGTATTTTTTATTATTTTTTTTTTTTTTAGACTTTAGAAACTCAGAAGCTGATCAAATATCGGGTTAAATATCGGTGGGGTGGCTGATGTCCGATATTCAATTTTAAGGCAGATACAGGCCGATACCGATAGGGGGTCGATTATATCGTGCATCCCTAATATATATATATATATAACTATGTATATGTGTTTCTTTTTTATGACAGCGCAGCCCTCCTTCCCCCACCTGTTGCTGTGTGCCCCTGTGTTGCTTATCTGGCAGATAAACTCAGCTATTAGCAAATATATCAGGAGAAAATCATCATTTGTCACTTTTATATAGTGAACAGTGTTTTAAAATCATAGTTGATGGTAAAAAAATACCTTACTAACCAACCAGCTGATTTTTCTTGTGTTGTTTTATATGCTGCAGAGAGGCAAACAGTGAGGCTATGTACTTATTTAATGATACAGTGTTTTGACTGTTTTTTTAAATACAAAGTAGCAATGAAAAATAACCACACAATAATTTTCATTTTTTCATGATTAAAAAAAAAATACAGGAAGAAAAAAGAAAATCTTTTAGTGGCTGTCCATTTTCATAAATCTTAAAAACAAAAAAACAGCTTCTTTATTCTACTTAATTAACATTAGAAACTTTTGTTTTATTTTCCTGCTACAAGAAACTGTTATTGGTAACATATAATATCTGCATTGCTCCATAGTTCATAGCAGCAGCAGCAGGAATCATTTTTGCTTTTCTTTTTTTGAACTATTAATTTGGGCATTGTTACTTTATTTTTAGTGCAGTTTGTGATAAAGTTAGAATTCTAATTCCAGGCCCATGCCTCATGAAATATATCTATATTTTCAGATTTTGGAAATAAAATTCCCACCAAAACATATTGTAAATGTCTTTGAAAAATCAATATATCCTTTTAGTTTTACTTTTAGTTGTCTAATTTTATTTTAATTACTCCTGAATGGCAAAAATCTACTGATAATCCTTGAATTCTTGTTGTTTTTGTCGACTTCTCACTATTTTCTGTTTACACACCAGGTCCATTCCCTCCTCCTCGTTACAGTAAATTAAAATCCTCCTCAAATGTAATTGCTGACCACAGAAGTGACTTCCCCAATCCCATCAAGTCTTTAAGTTGGGTTTAACCAGCTAATCCGTCCCTGAGCGATCTGAATCTGGTCACCTCGGTTTACCCTGCTGGCTGCTCGCCTGCAGATCTAAAGAAGCGGATTTGTATTCAGGACGTATTGTGTGAAAATCAGGCTCAGGAGACCCTGACCTTCATGGTAAAGATATTAGAATAGTTAACTTCTAAATGCTGCTTTAGCCCCGTTTGTTAGTGTGGTAAAATATTGCTGTCTTTTAAAATGCATCAGGTGTTCTTGGATTCTTGGAGTTTGCATTGGTGCACCGTTTTCAGAAGTGCAACAATCCTGTACAGAGGAATGTATAAGCTCTGATAATCTAAAATGTCCAGTAAGCACAGTATGTAGAAGGAACGTGGGCTGAAACCATCTGATTAATCGGGATTTATCAATTATTGAAATTATTGTCAACTAATATAGTAATCAATTAATAATCAACCGGAGTTTAAAGACTGTAAAACATGCCTTTAGCTAACAGAGCAACTCACTTAGAGCAGTAATTATATCAAAATTGTACAAAATATGTAAATATTTGCATTTAAGATATAAAAAAAAAACATTTTAATTTATTAATATGCTCTATCCAGAACACCTCAAGTGGAAAAGTTTTAGTTTCACCTGGTTTAATTTAGTAGAAAATCTTCTTTAAGGAACCTTTGGCTATCCGATTATTAATCGATTAATTAAACAGATTAATCAATTTGCAAAGTAGTCCTTAGTTGAAGCCCTACCTTTCAATATTACCCTGGTGAAGATGTGTAAAAAGCTTCCAAAATAAATTTTATTGCTGCAGCAAAGTTTCACACATGAAATATATTAGTCTTTAATTTGAAAATAACAGAGGCCAGTTTTTCATAATTCCTCTTCACAATAACAAAGATAAGAGCACATGAAATATGTAAAAAAAAAAAAAGGCAGATTTGTTTTGAGCTTTACAAGATTTACCCAAATAAAAAAAGTCAGGAGAATATTTAAAAGGTTTAAGAGAACCAGAACTGTGATGGCCGAATAAGGATCTGTGTTTAATTTACCACCGCACACAGCGGGCAGGATGGTAAAGGCTGGTCACACCACTACATCCCGCTCTGCAAGCTTTTTTTAATCTTATCGCTACACATACGGTGAGCAGAGCGATATCCTTGCAGGAATGTGCCACACTTTACTCCTCAGTCCATGGGTCCCACAAACTGAAACAATGTCCCGCAATCGACAATCAAAATACAAAGAAGCACTTCAGGTCATCTCCAACTTGCATATGGTGTTCTTAAAATAACAAAGGTAAAGGATTATGATATATACTAAAATATCATGGAAAACCAAATTTAAAGAGTAGAAAATGTAGCCACAAAAGATATTGTGGAACGGTTTAGAACTTGGTAGGGCCAGTAAAGGGTGATTGTTAGAGAGGTGTTTTTGTGAAGTTTCTCCAAAGTATTTTTTCTGTTTCATAAAGAAGGGAGCACAATAAGCCCTGGATATATCCCTCCCCTTTGTCCCTCATAAGCATCCTGCATGTTCCACATTTGTTTTTTTAGAGCTTAAAGAGGATCTCCATTTTACTTTATCCATGATAGGAGGTCAGGATTAAAGAAAAACTGACCATTTACACTATTAATTTAAATGTTTTATTCTTGATGTCCAGCTCTACCATGCTTGATATGATATGTACACACATCGGTTTCCTAAACTGGCTGCATTACCTTGTATTTCATAGACTTTACTCAGTGTTTCCTCTAATCAGACGTGTCTGACTTTGACACTTTGACTTTGTTCCTGTCTGAATCAGGAGTTAAGTCAGTCTGAGGTACAAAAGCGCAGCAGCAGAGAATCCTTTCTGACCAGCACTGTTCATTTTCAATGTACTCTAAGTGCCATGACTTTTTACGACGGCACTAAATTGTGTCTGGTGTATTCAGCCCATTAACAGAGGAAACAAGCCATCATGGGATCACCAAGACTCTAAAAAAAACTTATTTTAAAGGAGCAATAATTTATTATTTTGGATTAAAAGAGATTAAAGGATAGTAATTTAAAGAACTGTGTCTTTTAGATGGAGTATGGTGTGAATTCACACATCTTCCTCCATAGTTGCCTCGACTGCTTTTCTAATTAATGCTCTCTTTGGAAAGCCTGTCTTTGTAGATTTGAAGTTGTGGCGCATTATTTTCAGATGATGGTCCTCAGTGAGATTTTTAAAGCTTAAAATACTGGTTGATAATCCATCTTCTCTACAAAGTCATTCCTCATCTGCTGAGTTCGTTCCCTCATCTTCATGAGGCTTTTCAGTATTGCTCTCCTCTCCAACACCCTCTAAAGATTTATTAGCAGTATTTTTCTAGCATAAGGTTCCACATGGGTGAACTCTATACACTGAATGGTTGAGTTCTGATGCACTTGCTGTTTGTTTATCAGAGTTAATGGGGACAAAACAGATGCGGCCAACATTTCTAAGATTTTATTGAAAATGTTTTCCTTTCATTTTTCAATCATTCATTCTTCTTTGTCAGTTTATGAAACCACACAACGAAATACGTTAACGTGGTTGCTACATGACAAGAGTGGATATGGTTCCATAATTTGTGAGATTGATAAAATCAATATCATTCATTGGGAAAAGCTATAAAAGGAGTTTGTGAATATAATCTTAAGCTGGCCTGGTCTTGGTTAGAAGCTCCTTCTCTGAGTTATAGTTTAGTTGATCTAGTGTAGTCCATCCTCACTCACTGACTTGGAGGGATTGCATAAAGTGTTTGCAGTACCCCTCAGTTTTCATGCTCTACATTGTCCGACTTTTCCTTATTTTGGTCTTAATTCTCCCCTTACTCCATATGGCTCTCTAGACAGCTCACCTGCCGGCTGTGGCAGAGCTTTGTGGTGAAAGCACTCGGATCCAGCTCGTCAAGCGCAGCAGCCAAAGTCCTCAGGCCTGAGCTGTCATTTTTTTCTTCTCAGATGCCAGAACAGCTGTTTGTGCCCCCCCCCCCCCCCCCCCCCAACCTCCCACCCGCTACACTTGAAAGGAAAGATTTCAGCACAGACCAACGAAGTTTGCTAAGATGTGAATCTGTAGCATATGCGTTTCTGCCTTAAAGTTGCAGAGGATCCTGGAAGAGTTCAGTTTGCCTCGGAGGCATTCGTAAATTGCACTTCTGAAAAAAAGCCAATATTGTGTTTGGGATGCGTCACTCATACTGTAAAATTCAGAGGACGTGTGGTTGTTTTTCCCACTCGCCTTTTTTTTTGCAGCTCTTTGTTCGGTTGGCGCTCATTCATCCTGTTGTGTGTGCGCATGTATACATGCAGAGTGGAGTCATCACCTCGTGTTTGCCATGATTAGAGATGGCCTCTTTAATTCCACTTCACCACATGTTGGAATTCATTTGCGTTCTTTGTCAGGAGTTAATGGAGTTTTGAGCGGCTCGCTCTGAAAGTCTTTGAAGACACCAGACCTGATGATGTGATGTGTATACAGCCGCCAGCACTATTGCTTCTGATTGATTTGTTGTCGTTTTGGTTTGCTCTATTGTGTTTCTCTTCATTTTACTCATATTTGAATAGATTTCTGGATGAAATATCATGTCGTTCTTTTTGCTTTTTTTCTTTACAAACTTTATCACACATCACTGCCTGAATGAAGGACGACAGAGACTTTTCCTCTGTTGCTCTTTTCCCTTAACATGAATATGATTATTTTAGTGCTCATTTCTTCTATTTATTTGTTGCATAATTATAAGCAAAGTTCAGTTTTTTTTTAACAAACTCCAGGATTTCAAATATTAAAAATTATGTTGCCCTTTTTAAAAGGTTGATATTGAGGTTTTAATAGTTAAACAAGCAACCACTTTCCTAGTTAAATGGGGAGACCCTGACCCTTCCATCCTATTTATTGCTTTGATAATATAATAAACACTGAAAAACTATATGAGGCAAGATACAGTGCTTAGATAAGTGTTCAAAACCTCTTATGATTAATTTTTTACATTCTAATATGTTGTTTAATTAATGTATTTCATTCCACAACTTATTTATATAACAAGGAAAATCATTAATGAAAAGGAGCAGAAAACAACCCTAAACATAACATCTGTCCCCATTCTATTAAAACCGACCTATTTCTGTTTGAATAGGATTATACATATTAAAGAAACACTATGTATTGCCTATTTTTTTAAAGTAGAACTAAGATCATATACGGTTTTAGAAAAAGTTTACAAATAGAGATGTTCAGACCTTTTTTTTTTAAACCACCAATTAAGCTGGAAGTCTTCTGTCCATAAACGTTTGTTCCCATTTTCTTTGCAAAATAGTAAAGCTATTTCAACGTAGCTCTGGCTGCAGGTTAACGTTGTCTTCCTTTAAGCTGATTCTTCACCCATCGTTTCAATTGTTTGAAACCCCTCAAAGATAGTTTTTTTTCCCATATTTATCTTTGTTCAGTACAATGGACCTTTTTATATAATTTTGACCAGCCTCCTGGATGTTGCTAAAGGAGGTAGAGCAGTAGACCCGCAGCATGATACTGCTTTTCAATGGTGTATATAGCATGTCTAGGGTAATGTGCTGTGTGTTTTTACATACTAATGTTTAACAGTTTGATCTGGAAGGTTAGTTTTGGTGTCATCTGATCAGAGTTCTTCCATCCACATCTCCATTTGCCTCTGTAAGCAGGACGACTGTAAAAAGGACAATTTGTTATTGTCCTGTCGACGGTTTTTCTTGTGTGTTGTGGATCTAAGCAGCTTCTCCAAGAGTTTCCATGATTGCTTTGGCTGCTTTTCTAATTAATGCTCTCTTTGGAAAGCCCGTCTTTGTAGATTTTAAGTTGTGGCACATTATTTTCAGATGATGGTCCTCAGCAAGATGTTCAAATCTAAAGATAGTGGTTGATAATCCATCTTCTCTACAAAGTCATTCCTCATCTGCTGAGTTCGTTCCCTCATCTTCATGATGCTTTTCAGTATTGCTTTCCTCTCCAACACCCTCTAAAGCTTTATTAGCAGTATTTTTCTAGCATAAGGTTCCACATGGGTGAACTCTATACACTGAATGGTGAAGTTCTGATGCACTTGCTGTTTGTTTATCAGAGTTAATGGGGACAAAACAGATGCAGCCAACATTTCTAAGATTTTATTGAAAATCTTTTCCTAGCATTTTTTTTTTATGTCTGTATTTAAAACCAACACACAACATACATTAAAGTTTGTAGTTGTTACATGAAAAGAGTGGATAAAGTTCAAGAGGGATACTTTCATTTTCTGCAGTGTTCTTAATTTGATGGCTTGGAAAGCTGTGGATGTTGAATGATATGTTCAGGAAAGTATGATCTCCCCATTACAGTCTGTTATTCTTTTGGGTTTGTTTTTTTATCAAAACATCTTTATAAACATCCAAATCTAAATACTATTTCAATTGTTTTCAGCAATGAAAGAAAAATCTTTCATATCTTAAGGAGAGAAGCTTAAAATCAGATCACTTTTATTAAGTTAGACAGAGAGGCGGCAGAAAAATGCTCGGCGTCTGAATATTGATTTTTGAGACTTCTGGTTTCATGCTGAGCTCCCTGTGATCTATTTCCAAGAAATGAGAAAAAAAACTAAACTTGAGAATCTCTGCAGAGAAGAAAAGCTGATGTTTTCTACAGATGCATTCATCATTTACTGTCACAAATGCACACAAGTAAATATATCCTCATTCACAGCACTGTGTTCTTAGATCTGACAATATATTTCAGTTTAATTGTCATATTAGACATTGATTACACCCAGGATAAATATGCATCTATTGAATCCTTTTTTTTTATGTGGCCATACTATCCTGTAGCAGTAAAATAGGTCTTCAGTTGTGTTTTAAATAAGTTAACCTCCTTCTATCCAATTTCAAGCCCTGGAGCAGCTCACAATTCTCTTTTAGTAATTATTTCAGAACAAATTAGTTTTCTATAGTTGCTTTTAATGTGTCTGAATCAGGCAAAACTGGAGTTAAGGAGTCTCTTGGTATTTACAGAGTGCAAAAACCTGTATTTAATTGAGCGAATCAATAAATGCTCTAATGCACTGTCAAAAGAGCTGGAGAAATGAGCGGTCTGTTCAGCTGAGCCCAGGTTTCTAGCCTTGTATCATTTATTCTGAGTGATGAATGTATAAATTTAAGGTTTTTAGAAATGAAAACAAGTTGTTCTGGTGGATTCAGCCCCGCAGGGGTTTTTGAATGGGAAAACTTAATGCTTTGCTTAGCTCCACTGCAGTTTCATGCATTTTAAGTTAGAATGGTGTGTCTTTTCAAATCAAAGCCCCTTTTCTACTTCATATATTTGCAAGAACATTATACATTTTTTTTATTTTTCACAACAGCTGTGATTCTTTGTGCAAATTGTAGAAATATTCTATATCTTTTAGGACATGCTTTTTTTAAGAATATCCTCCCATTTCTATTCTCTACAAGCGACCCTTCCTACCTTTTAGTTTTCCCTCAAATATCACCACTCTACCTGTAAAACAGACTCTCAGTGTCACTGTTGTGAATCTCCTCCAAAGCAGTTTGGTATTTCTTCTACATCCCAGCACATCTAGATAACCTGGAGGGCAGGAATAAAGAAATGCTCCGAAAATTAGCATTAGTGGATATTTTACCCTCATTCCCCGCAAATGAGAGCCAGACCATTAACATTTGTGTGTTTTCATTATGTAAATGGTGTTAGTACGTACTCACAAATTGCCAACAGGGAAGCAATAATTTTCTCCTAGTGATCATAATGTTTCCAAGTGCATCGTCTTGATTATGACACACTAATTACATATTGCCTCATCTCTGCTTCTGTTTTTTTTTTTTCTTTTGTCTTGCCCTACAGATTCAGAAAAACCAAGGATCTCTAATGGTAAGTTTTATTGCTATGGAATAGGATAAAAGAAGCCAGAGGTCTCCTTCTCTGCATATAGTCTGTCACTCTTGGTTGAATCTCTCATTTAGGAAAAAAACACACAGATTGGATTTTTGCAACAAATTATTAGATTATGCCTAAACTGCTGGTATTATATTAGGTGCTATAATGGAATAATAAAAACCTTGCATTCCCTGAGCTTGGTGCATGTGATTAATCTTTTTTTTTTTTTATCACACAACTGATTTCCCTTATTGCTTGGAAATTCAATGCAGGCTAACGCTTTTTTTTTTCTCCCATCATCTCCTTCTGCCTCTCTTCGTCAGCCTCTCCAGTTACTGCAATGCATCGTTGATGAGGTGAGTCGTCGTCTTATGTGCTTCTGCATCTAAAGTCAGTCCTAATGGCCCGGAAAGCTTATATTTTGTTTCCTAATGAAGCAAACCACTCAGGCGGCTTTGCTCCCCATTCACTCAACCCTTCACCCTATGCAACAGCCTCAGGCAGCAGACGTACGCACATTACTATAGAGGCTGGTCCCGTCACGAGCGACAGACGCACAAAACACAGTTCTGGATTTTTGGGAATGCAGGAACCCAAATTACATTGATGCAGGATTATTTTTAACTTTCTCCAGTAAAGAGGTAATTGTTGCCTCACAGGCTGAAGATGCAACTTTTTTTTTTCTTTCCTAATAGATGCAACAAGAAAACGTGTTTAAGATTATAAATTATATGGAGAATTGAAACAAACTATTTTTTTTTGGCCATCAGATGCCGGTTCCCTTTTAAAGGGCGGTGCAGCTGCAGACTGCAGTGATTTATGACCCAGAATCATGTTGGGAAATGTCCAGAGGTAGAGCAGTATTTATTCATCCAGTTTCCAGACATTTTTTCCGTGCAGTTGTCCTTCCTTTTTGTTTTTTGCAGGTTTTGTAGATAAAGCGTGGCCTCTATAAATAAGCTTAAAGCTGCGCTTGAAAGTTTAGTTACCCTTCCATTAAAGACAGAAAAAAAATGAGCTGCTAGTAAAATAAATTGAAATTGACAAAAGTAATAAATAAAAAAAATGGAAATCATGATATTAATTTAATAACTAATGTTGTTGTTTTAAATTGGCACCTGTTGACAAGTATGTTGGTGCACTGTTCATGAGCAAGGCACTTTCATTTTTCTCGGACAGTTTGTTTTTTAGAATTATTTTCTAAGGCAAAACTTCTAGATCAAAATTTTATTTTGAGAAATTATCATTTAGTATTTTTGAATTATTAATTATTATATTATGATTACTTTTTCTGTTTTGTGTTATTTGAATTACTAGTGTGAATTCATTATTTTCTTTATTGTGAGGATACGTAAACTTTCAAGCATAACTGTAGCTGATAAAGTAAACTTTCGCAGTAACCTAGATAATAAACTCTGAACCCTGAGTCTAGTAAGCCAAGTTAAATTTTACACATGAAAATCTTTCGGAAACCAAAAGATTGACAATATCTTAGCCGACAGTCCTCTTTACAATATGCATCCATTGAAGTCTGGATGATACATATTTTTATAAAGTAAACACTTTATGAAATTATGCAATTTATAAAGCAGACTAACATACAGGATAAACTCAATTGAACAGGTTTGTTCCCTGATTTATTGCCATGCTGCGGTGCTCATGAATACTGTATGTAAGCAAACCCTGCATTTCATCATAACCAGCAATAACGTTTTCTTTTTTTTTTTTTCCTGAGCTTTTTGCTGACATTCCCTAATAGCCAAAACGCTCCTCCAGCAGCCACCCAGTGCCCCCATCACCAGCCATATTGCACATTAAACATACAGTGTCACTTGTCCTTAACTGCCTATGGATTGGCCTTAATTAATAATTAAATGCTTTTGGTTGTAATGGATTGACCTGGGCTGAACTGTTCATTAGTCAGCTAGACGTAGCGATCATTCAAACTATTTTTCCCGTGCCCTTTGCTGTCTCCATGTGAGGGGAGAGAAAACACAGTGTTGTCCCTGCTGGAGCAGCAGAGCCTTACTGTCCCTGCTAATTTGGTGGCTTCAAGGAAGACACAATAGGATAAGCTTTGTCTGGAAAGATTGAAATCGCTTTGAGAGAATTTGTATCCTGGCTAATTAACTATTTAGCTAAAGTACATTGGTAATTATTTGGGGCAATAGCAGTGTGTGGTTACCAGCACAGCCTACTTGGCTTATTTGTGCATTTCATATTAGGTTAAAATCTCATACAGTTATTTGTTTTAGGCAAAATATTTCTCTTCCGTTAATGGTTGAAATATTTATAAAAATATTTGGACAACTATAAAATACCAGCTTAGTTATGAGAACTAAAGTAAACTAGACTTAGTGAAGTAAATGTTTGGGACATCGTCCTTACAATCATACTTCCTCTGGTTTTATCTCTTTGCTTGCATGTGAAAAAATTGCAGTATGGCTTGTTTTCCCTACAAACCCTTGAAATGTCAGTTCCTCGCATCAGAACAGACAGCATTTAAACATGCTGCGCCTTTCTCTTGGAATAATCTACAAAATGATCTAAACTTCACTGATATTATTACATCGGGAGAAGTTAAAACGATTGTAAAGGAATGGGAAACTAATACTATTTGTCAGTGTGACTGCTTCTAGTCTTTACGTATTACTGTACATTAAAAAATATATATTTTTTATTCCTTTGTGTATGATTCTGACTTTTATTATTGTCGCTATGTTGTCGCTGCCCTCTGGGCCGGGTCACTGTTGAAAAAGAGATTTTATGTTCATTTCAGTCATCGATCTAAACATAGATGACAAAAATTGTATTTATTTATTTTTTTATTTTTTTATTTTTACCTAGTTATATAAAGGAAATAAAATAAATCCTTCTGTTGTTACTCCAATCAGTACATGTTGCAGTATGTGCTGGTTTTCCCCCTTTGCAGCTTTAGAGCTAAATGTGAAAATTCTTGCAAGCAATTATGGCCTTATTCACCTTCAACTGAAGGTTTGATGGACTTTTGCAGTTAATTGGACCAGATTTGATCTTTACATCATTGTGTTGTTGTTGTGTTTTGTGTATTTTTTTCATCCAATTAATTAATTGCATTTTTACATATTTGATGTATTTTATGACACTTATCTGCACAACTTCTTATATTCTTCTATTATAACTTCTGTATTAACCTTTATGACACACTGAGAATGGCTCTCGTTTAGGACCACGTGTATGTTTAATTGACCTTAATTTAGCTTCTCTTCATTTAGACGGTTTTAGTGTATCCGTGAGAACCAGGCTCGCATTGTTGAGCCAAGGTCTTAAATTGGAAGTTCTCCGCAGTTGTTCCCGCCATCTGTCCACTGTCCTCGCTCATTAATGTGCCTCCTCTCCTCTGTTTGTTGAATAGCAAGTGGCTTTCACTGATAAAGAACTCCCACTTTATTTTCAAGCCTGTAATTACTGATCTAATTTTGCCTAATAATTGCTTCATGGCAATGACATGTATATTTACTCGTAGCCCTCGTAGCATGTGCGCTGTCTTACAGTGGAGCAAATTGACAACCAGAGGAATAATTTAAACAGACCAGTCACTTTCATCAGCCTGCTTGTCTTTTGTACCTTCGCCTGCTGCCACATCAAAGCTGCAGCAGTGCTGCACTCAGCTGGAAACGTGAATACATGCATAATGTGTTTGTTTCTGCAAAAAAATAAAAAATAAATAAGGTGCATTAAAGGTGCATGCAGATACAGGAGCACGGATTGAATCTACGCAAAGGATGATCTCACTTTCCTGTTCAACCCTCTTCACACAGTCTGGATCTAATTTTGATCGTGTTTCCAGACTGGAATGTCTGTTTGGGTTTCATATAGTGAGGCTTGTAGTGTGCAGTGCTCAAGGGCATTTGTTTGTGGGTGCAGGTTTGTGTGCTCGCTATGATGCATTGTTCATCCAAGCGGCGACACGGCTGTGAAGTGTAGTGAGATTAGGGGGAACCCATTCCTTTGTTAATTTAAATGGGTTCATGCATCATGCTTTGCGGGAGGCTGCCGATCAGAGCATTAAGGAATGGCGAACACAGCCCAGAGGTGTTTTTACAGGCACAGCAGGGTTTCTCTATTCAAGGGGTCTACTTTACGGCATTTGAATAAACGCCTGGTTGTGGATCCTGGCATTAACATTGTCTGCATGTTTAAGTCATTTGTACTTTTTTCTGTTGACCTCGTATATTACAGCCTACTAATCCACCTACTAACTAGCTTAAATTCTTCTGACCTGATAAAGCTTCGATGCTTTTGTGTTAGGAGGAAGTGTTTCCTTAACTTCTCTATCCCTATATAAAATAACTGAGGTTGTTTATTGAAGCCTGATTGGTTTTAATATATCTTTCTACTGAAAGCATAAAACAAGAACTGAAGCAGAATAAATGCAACAAGATGAATTTACAGTATGATGTAAAGCTTGGAGAGGCAATCTGGCACAGATGATTAAGCTTCACAGGTCAGAGAGCCAACATCGTGCTTTCTCCTTTCCTTTTAATTTTATTTTAATCCAGACACTTTGGAAATAGTTGTAGCAAACTAATCAGTAACCTGATCTTATATCCAACTTTGAAATTAAGTCAAATAGATTTTTATACATTTAGAATTTTCACATTGTGCACGGTTGTTTTTCGGTGAAAAAAACAACAACAGGATAATCAGGAACATTTTGAAACGTGTTTGACAAAGGAGGGCAACCTGTAAAAAAAAAAAAAAAAAAGGTTTATCCCTATGGAAACAAAGGGTTGCAATGTTTTAAAGGGCTTAATATTTGAGAAAAAAATCCTACATCAAATTCTGTCCTTTAGAGATGTAGCCTTGATTTAAATGACCTGCAGAGATTCACAGCAGCTTTTGTCAGGCTGGTTCCTTTATCCAGTTTCATTTCCCTCCATCCTTTAGCAGTTGGTTATATTTTAAACCTTACAGCCTCCTTAAATTCTCTCTGATTAGCTCCCTTTTTCTCTTTGTCGTTAAACTGTAATAATATTGTAATTTTGAATCACTAAAAAAGTAAGTTTGTGATTAAAATAAAAAAAACTACACGGTCCTATTTCTGAAAATGCTAAATTCTTAATATTGCTACTAGATGTGTCTGAAGTCTGATACCAGAGTCCAAAGAGTCCAGCATTTTTAGGGTACAGGAGCTAAAATCTGAGTTTAATTTAATCAATATTCTCTAAGGACACATATTCTGTGGTGATATGCTGTATTGGTAATAAAATAAAGACACACTGTGAGCTTTAGCTCTTTATTCTATATTTTTACACTATTATTCTTTCTTTTGTGATTTAATTTTAAGTGACAGGCATCAGAAAATAGCAATAAATAACTGTTAATATTCATATAAACAAAAGTATGTATTTATATAAATACTTAAACATGTTCCCACCTCATCTAACTAATGATCTATTTTTCAAACTCATGCTAACATGAGGAAACAGAGGTTTTAAAAAAGCCTATCTAGGTCTATTTGCTTGTATTCATTTCATCCCAAACAATAAATCTATTTAACAAAATACATTTCTATAAGTTTTAACAAACACACGCAGAACAAACCTGTCAGGGCATGTGCACTGGCCTCCCACCTGCAACAACACTATTTCTCTATTTATTCTGGAGTTCATTCACAAATGAAACAAATTAATATATATATATATATATATATATATATATATATATATATATATATATATATATATATATATATATATATATATATATAATATAAAAATAATCTAATTGAATAAGAAATACTTTTCCAAACCAATGTTCTTTTTAACATTAAACTTATAAACCCACTACCTGCAGTCACAATATTTACTGCTTAATGTTTTCATTCTTGACCTTCAAATATAAGAGGAGGTTCACCAGATATAATTGATTGATTGAATGATTGCCTTATTCAACAGACTCATGGCCCATGAAGAGATGATACACAACAACACATAAATAAAAAAATGATTATAATAATGATAAATAATTATGAATAGTGCAAACTTGTGTACAAAAAAAGAAACTGACATAAATATTAATTGTGTGTCATTGTTTAAAACAAGATTGTTGGTAACAAATTATTTTACTCACATAAGAATAGCATATTTTATTAATATATTGCTCAAGTAAAGTATGGGACAGTAAAAGTATATTTCTGTCAAAATGTTAATCTAGTGAATGTACCTGACTAAATGTAAATAGTTATTACCCACCTCTGTCCACAGCGCTTCTTTCTTTAGGTTTTCTTTTAATGTTAGCTGAATGGAGGCAGTGTTTTCAGGTGTGCCTCTATGTAAGGTTGTGAATGAACCTGTCAGAGGCTCACAAAACATTTCAGCTGGGGTTTCCTTATTTTTTTTGTAGTCATAGTTATTTGTCAGTAAAAATCAGATTTTTAAAAAGGGTAAGTTAAAAAAAAATATTGTCGTTAATTCAAATATTTTTTTAATCTGAATAATTTTTTTCTTTTCACAGGACCCTCCGGTACTTCCTGTTGGACAGTTCAGTGAAAAGTTTGTTAACTTCATCACTCAGTGGTGAGTCAGCGGCAGCTGGTGCCAAAGTTTTCATGTGTTTGAGAGATACCTTTATATTTTTTTTATTATTTAGAACACTTTTGATTGGTTTTAATGATTTAATCACATAGGATCATTTGTGTATCCTTTGAGCAACATAAAAGCTGTCCATGTCTGGCTCCAGCGTGTTGGACTGAACAGTTCAAACCACCGCAGGCTGTATTTGTCCAGCATGAGCCCAAAGATCCTAAATGAATCAAGTGTTTTTTTTCTTCTATATAATACCATTAAAGTGCATGTTCCTGTGTGTGTTGACGTATTGTGTCGTCGTAGGTTTCAGAGATGCTGGCTATAAATTCAAAAGCTGTCCTTTTGACAGAGCCTCTCTAATGCAGGAGGACAAATCTCTTGTTTACCCAGTTTGCCTCTGATTCATTAGCCACTTGTAACCTTTACAGGAAGACAAACATTTACATGCACTCCCAAACCACACGCATGCTCTGTGTACGAGTGTGTGTGCTCAGCGCTCACCAGCAGACCACGGCAGCTGCTGTTTGTCCCCCGTGGCGGCTTGCTCAAACAGGACACCTCTCTGCACAGGTGCTCCGTCCTGCCTTGCTGCAGCGTTTGTACTTTGCTGTCTGACTATTCTTAGACGGTCACGGCCCTTTCATTATGATACATAAAGCATTTTCACGATTAACTGCACACAGTCCCCCGTGTCGGTCGTTCTGACGGACCGCGGTAAACAAAATATGGAGGACACGCACACAAATGCTCTAATTATGTGGAATAAATTACCTGTGTTGTACAGCTATTCAGGCTTACTTTTTTCAGCTTCTGTGGCATAATCGAATTTTAGAAAAACTTCTTTCATAGATGAATTTATTAATCAAAAGTATGCATATATTAAAAGAACAAAAACATCTGTTTTCCGCTTAGAAATATGGCAATTGAAGACCACAAACTCTCTGCTTCTATCTCTCTTTTCTTAGTATGCGGAAGAACCCCAAGGAGAGACCTGCACCCAATAACCTCCTGGTAAGTTAACCAGAGCGTGCTCTTAAATGACCTTTTGAGGATGTAATGTAATGTCGGTTTTCTGCTAATAAATTACTTTAATGTTCATTCATTCTGATAAACATTCAAATAGTTTTACTATATATTACTATATAAACCATATATTTATATAATAGTCTTTAGGAAAACAGTTGTGCTTCTAATGGACTGAGGCATTTTGGGTCAAGGACCCTCCATCTTGGTAATGCTGTGTGGAGAAAGCTGGAATTAGCTTTTTGCCAACGTAAAGCGGGTCGACAGAAAACTGTTGGACCCTCTGTATTTAATTCAGTTTATTCGGTTTTACTAGTGAACCACGTCTAGATTCACAAGATTTAATCACTTTCGGTTTTGGATTCAAGACCTCAGAAAATTTCACTATGAAGTAAAGTAATTGTTAAAAATTTTTAGTAATCTTACCCTGATATTTGTCTGTTTGATATAAGGACAGTATGTCTTTAAACTACAGCAATGTTGATATGTGTAGAAAGGAGGGACATCTGTTCCTATCGGTTCCTATCACCCAAAATTTGAGTGATCATGTTTTAGGTTAATCACTTTATGTTCGTTTAGTCATCGATCTAAACATAGATTACAAAAATTTATTTTTAATTTATTTTTTTCAAGACCTATTTTGTAATTTAAATCTTATAAACATCCTATATCCTACTCTTTTAAACATTATAAAACCAACTTTAAACAAACATATATATATATATATATGTGTGTGTGTGTGTGTGTGTGTGTGTGTGTGTGTGTGTGTGTGTGTGTGTGTGTGTGTGTGAGATTTTATATGTGATTAAATTTTGCAAAAAAAGAAAACAAGCAAAACATACCAACTAAAAATAACTTATATCCTGTCTAATATGCCTTTATACCTATAACCAATGAAAGTTAAGTAGAACAAGTACAAAGATTTACAAAGTACATGTAATATTAAAACATGTTTATTAATGCAAAAACAGAAAAAATATATATACGAGTGTCGTTCAATAAGTAATGCCCCTAACCCACTTCCAGATGTTTGATCGAGCCGAAATTTTGCATTTGACGTTATTTAAATCTGCGTAGATTTAAATAACAGCTACAGCTCTGAACCATTTGTGGTTACTTACTTACAGATGTGTGAACTGAGTAAAGTCTGAAATGGAGTTGAGTGTCGAGCAGTGAACCGGTTTTCTATTGGAAAGGACTCACACCACGGGAGACTTTAGATGAAATTAAAGTAACTTATGGTGATAAAGCCCGTTATATGACCTTGCAAAAGGTTTTACAAGGTTATATTATGGGACATTATCAATATAAGTTACTTTCATTTGATTAAAAGTCTCCCGTTGTGTCCGCCTTTTCAAATGCAAAAAACTCAGACTTGACTCAGTTTTAACACCAAGAAATCAGAAACCACAATTAGTTCAGAGCTGTAATTTGCTATTTAATCTATAGAGATTTAAAATACTTCACATGCAAAATTTCAGCTGGATCAAACATCTGTAAGTGGGCCAGGGGCATTACTTATTGAACACCCCTTGTGTGTATATATATATATATATATATATATATACCGTATTTTCACGACTATAAGGCGCACTTTAACGTCTTTTTTTTCCCTCAAAATGTGCGGTGCGCCCTATGGTGCGGTGCGCCTTATGTGTGTTGTAACTGCGACTTTTGAGACCACCTCATTGAGGAGATGATGAAAGAGTGGCTGAATGTAAGGAGACCAGGTGTTTTTTTCCACTCATCACCATCGCTGTTAATATGTAACTCCATGCGTGCCCATCTCACAGCTGATGTGAAAAACATGGGGAAACAAATTAACGCTGTGCTCGCTGTTCAACCGCTGGACATCGGTGTGAACCGGACCCAGCAGGTGCAGCAGAAGCAGCGAGTTTACATGCAAAGTCAATGGTTGACGCGCGTATAGGTGCAGCAAAAGGTCCCGCAGCGCGTTTTGAGCTGCAGGTGCAGCGCGTCGGGAGCGCGCCGCCAACGCGCTGCTGCTGCTCGAGATGGAAAAATTGAAGTTTTGCTGCTGGACGCGCCGCATCAACCAATCAGAGAAGCTGATCTGGGAGCTGACAGCGAGACAGACACAGCGCTCTGATGACATATGATATTAACGCAAATGAAACGGGCTGGGGAGATGATGAAAGGCAGGTGTATGTGAGGAGACCAGGTGCTTTTTTTCACGCATCACCATCGCTGCGTGCCCATCTCACAGCCGATGTGAAAAAAAAAGATGAATCAAATGAACGCTGTGCTCGCCGTTATCCCGGGGGTCTGACAAAGGAACTTCAACCGCTCGACATCAGTGTGAAAGCGGCCGTTCACAGTAAGGCTGTGAGCGGCGTGGGAGCGATGGGTGACAGACTGAGAGCACAGTTTCAGGATAAATGGAAGGCAGCGCCGGGCAAGTTACGCCACCGTTTGCGGATGGATTGTAGATGCTTGGACTAACGTGTCTGCTGGCTCTGTTCTTCAAGCTTTCGCAAAAGCCGGCATTATTTCTGAGGAGCCGCGCTGCACGGAAAGTGACTGACAGCGAAGAATGGGAAATTGGCATGTCTGATTTAGCGCAGCTGTTTAATTCAGAAACAGAGGATGATGACTTTGATGGGTTTGATTAATACTTTGTAATAAATACATGAATAAAGCACAAACATACTCAGTTTTGCTCCCGCTCTATTTTTCTACCTGAAAACTTAATTCAACAGCAGCCTCTGAGCGCGTCTCCTCCTCTTCAGCGCGGTGGCTGGCAGGTGTTTTTTCATCTAAATAATCTAAATCTTGCAGCTATATTTGCTGTGATCAGTGGGAATAAAGTAGTTTTAATATGTTTTTAAGTGAGAAAGGCCACCTGAAAACTTAATAATTGCAGTCAGTTCATCCAGATTATCTATTTCTGTCGGAGGCGCTCAGACCCCCACATACCAGCGGTACACCGACAGTAAATCCCTTCAACAGCAGCCTCACACGGCGGCTGGCAGGTGTTTTTCATCTAAATAATTTACAGTGCAGGCATCAGGATACCGGCAATAAAAGCGAACATATTCCGTCGGCAGGTTTCAGGATTTTAAGTTAATTTAGGAGTGATCACAGCGCTGTGTCATCTGCGATGTGTCTGTCTCATGGCCAGTACGCAGGTTTGATTAATTTGTAATAAATACATGAATAAAGCACAGTCATACTCAGTTTTGGGCCCGCTGTATTTTTAAAATACGCAGTAGAGGTATTTAAAGGTAGTAGAGGACATGTACCTGTATATAAAAAACGCGCCCTATAGTCCGGTGCGCCTTATGTGTGTGTTAAATACAGAAATGGGACACATAACTGAGACTGCGCCTTTTAGTACGGTGCGCCTTATGGTCGTGAAAATACGGTATATATATATATATATATATATATATATATATATATATACACAAACATATTATATTGGACTTGAATATACTCCAATATAGTCTATTTATGCTTAAATGAACATGTTTTAGAATTACATCTACTTTGTACATTTTTGTACTTGTTCTACTTAACTTTCTCTTGTCTTGTCTTATGAGAAACAATTTATCACTGATGAGATCTGTCCTTACATGCATTCATTTAACAAAGATTGGACATGACTTTGAGCAAACTGTGAAAATACATTCAGAATTCAGAAAAAACAGCTTTTGAATTACTCAAAGCAAACAAATATCTGGAGATGTTAGAGCTTAATACTTCATAGCTTAAGGTTCCATTAAAGTGTCAGTAATCTTGGTTATTCATGTACTGACAAACATTACATGACATGCGCTTGTGTCTGGCAGGAAAAATAAGTTGTTAGATAGCTGATTTAGAGCTGCGTTGTCAGTTTCTAAATAAAAGAAGTGACTTTACCAAACAGTTTGAGTTCTTTCTGTCTTGTCTGACAGCTTAGCAAGCCAAGCCAAGCATCTCTGGCCCCGCGTGAACTTGACAGGTTTCTAACTTCAAGCATTAGCACACAAGGCCGGACATTTACACTAACGGGCTTTTAAGAGCTGAAACACGGTCAGGATCCTGCATTAGGAGCAATGACAGCAGCTTCCAGTTCCTCAGAGAAATGAGTGGTGAAGGTTAACGTTGTGAGGACAGAGTGCTGCAAGGTGTGAATGCAGAACTGCTAACAGAAGGCATGTTCTCAGTCTCACACCACAAAGGAGGAGTGAAGATCTCAGCTGGTTTCTTTTATTTTCTGCACTTCTTATTAATTTCTATTCAGAAACTTTCCATCATAAAATAGATGTCACCTCTGGCTGTCCTCACAACCAACAACCTTTTAGTAGGGTCACTTTGAACCCATAGATAGTTCACCGTTGAGCTTTTCTTTTTCTTTGTTTCGCCCTGGATAGAGTCTCTGGTGCCCACTTGTCTCCAGGCACAAGTTGTCCACTGTCTCTCCTTTAGTATGCAGAGTGTCAGATACTGGACCTGTGTGTGTCTTAATATTCTGTTGTTTCTATTTCTATTCACAGATTCTCTGTCCTTTAAAGCTTTTCAATGCTTTGGTTTCTTTCAGCCCATTCCTAAAGCTGATTTTAGCTTCTTTTTCACCTCCATGTTCTCATTCTTACACACTTTTCGGTGATCCCTAAGCTGTTTTTTAAATTTTCTTCGTTTTCTGTATTTCCGACTTGGTCTTTCCCTCCATCCTTCTCATCTTCTTTTTACTCTTGCCTTTTTTTCCTTCCTGTAGGCCTTTTTATTTCTTTTTCTGCATGATGAAGTGAGATATAAGGTCACGGATGCCTGCCTTTGTGTCACCACTGTGCTGATTGTCTTCCTCTCTCTTCGTCTTCATTGGCCCTTTCCTCTCCACCTCTCATTCTACATCTCCATTCCTTCAGCCTCCTGAGTACATTAAAACTCTTTTCCTATTCTATCTGTATGTTAATGCACTTGGTCACCGCTCCCCTTCTCTCCTGTGGTGCACAAAAACTGTCCCCATTTACTCTCACTTTCCT